TCTTATACTGATTACAATTGTCTCTCCTCCAACTCCTCTGAGAGCCTTTCTCTCTACCCTCCCATATGAATCCACACCCTCTCTGTCTCTCAGAAAACAAACATGCATCTAAATAATAATGGTAAAATAAAATAAAACAAGAAAAACCAGAAACAAACAAATTGGAATAGGAAATACCAAATGTGAGAATAGAATCCAAAGAAAAAGTACAAGAAACATCCATAGACAACATATATTCACAGACACAGGAATCACATAAAAACACAGAGCTGGAAAGCTGTAATGTATATGCAAAGAACCTGTAAACTAAGTAATAGTAGTTAATAATTATAATGTAGTTATAATTATAATAAACAAAATAAATGCTGTAACTAAACATTATGAGACAATGAACTCCCAAAGTAGCCATTAAGTTCACTTTGTGTTGGCAACTACTTCTGAGCATGGGGCCTGATCTTAAGAGTGGTTTGCTTTCCCAATGAGATTCCACTGTAGAAAACTAACTTTTCATTTGCAAATGATTATCAATTGGAGACAACTTCTGGGTTAAGTACTGAGAGAAGCAGCTCCCAACAGGTCAGAGAAACTGGAGAGGAAATGAGGAGTCAGAGAACTGCTGGACAGACACACACTCTAGGCACACACACACACACAGTTTATCTGAGGGTAAAGCTTGAGTCTTCATTTTATTTTATTTTTTCTTCAGCTCTTAACACTTTTATGCCTCCCAAGACAAGGATTTCTATGCAAGAAAAGATTATATCACAACTACAAGTTACATACTTTCCAAAACAAATTAAAATTTTTAAATAGGAAGAAATTATATTATGATCACGTTATCTTTTTCTTAAAAGCCCAGAAATAAACACTTCTCTTTGAGTTAATTTTTAAATCATAACATCTTCACCCCAAAGCAAGGATTCTTTAATAATTGATTAATAAAGTTTTAAGCAAAACAAATATATTTCAACAAGTTCCTTTTTTGTTTTGGCAGGCAGCTGTTTGCAGTTTCAATGTAGCAGATTCCTATCCTATTTCTACCCTACAAATACTTTAAATAAGTGTTCTAGCTAGCCAATTATTTTTCTTTACAGATAATAAGGTCTTTTAATTTCCTTTCACAACTTTGTTTTCTCAAGGTGCACATCTAAACCTATTATTAATTCTGTAAACTACATGACCAGGGAACTCAGGCCTAATCTTGGGTGTAGGGATGTAATTGGTTTCTTTGATCATTAGCCTTTGATCAACAGGCAGAATTCATTGGTCTATAATGCATGAAATGTCCTTATTTTCCATCATCTGAAAAATCTTACATCTAACAAAGGGGAAGGTGGCTGCCAGTCTATTTTTGCCATATTTGTATCTTTTATTGGAGCAATTACAAGAATAACCTAAACCATTTTCCTAATCATCTCCACTGTCTTAGCCATCTTTATCTTTTAGGCTGACTCAGAAAGTTCAATTAAATCATTGACTGGACTAAGCATCATTGCTCTTATAAAAATCATCCTCATTATGATTATTGCAAATTGCTCAGTGAAGAGTGGGATTTTCCCATGGAAATATCACACTATATGAGATACAGGGGATCCTTTCACAACGTAATGAAAGGAATTACTGTATTAAACACAGCAGGAGTGTGACATCAGCAAGCAGGAGGAGGCCTAACAGAAGCAAGGGGCACTCTGGAAACAATCATCCCAGGGCTTTGCCTCTCTAGGATGCACCCATCACAGCTTTGCTATCTGGTGGGTTATATTCCACAGGTTCCATTGCTGACTGTAGCTCCTCTGACATGGCCACTGAGAGTTAAGCATGGGGGATATGTATCCACTTGTCAGCTCAGTGCTGGAATCCCATTGGGTGCAGACCCATACAGGCCCTGTGCACGCAGCCACAGTCTGGGAGTTCATATGTGCATTGGTCCAGCAGTGTTTAGAATTCCTTATTTCCTTGGTGTCCTCCATCCCCTCAGGCTCTTACGCTCTTTCTGCCTCCTCTCCTGTAAGGTTCCCTGAACCCTGGAGGAGGGATTTGATGGAGGCATCCCATTTAGAACTGACTCTTCCAAGATCTCTCATTCTCTGCGCTGTGGATCTCTGTATTTGTTCCTGTCTGTTGCAGGAAGAAGATTCTCTGATGATGGCTGAGCAAGGCACAGATCTATGAGTATAGCAGGATGTCATTAGGAGTCATTTTATTGTGTGTCCCTTTAGCAGAAAAGTAGTATTTAGCTTTGCCCTCGATCTCTGACCTATCTAGTCTCAGGTTCTTAGCCATCTGAGCATTGTTGGGGTTCTAACTTATGAAGTGGGCTTTAAAGCCAGTCAGATATTGGTTGGTTACTATCACAGCTCTGGGCCATAATTGCACCAGTGAATCTTGTAGATTCATCATTGTAGATCAAAGGGTTTTTAACCGGGCTATTGGTGTTTACCTTTGTCCTTTGTTACACTGAAGAACACATTCCAGTACCATGGACACTAGTCAGTAGGGGTGAAGGCTTTAGGTTGGCCTTTTCATTCAAATTTTCTGTGTTCAGCAGAGTTGTGTAGGCATTGTCTTCAGCAATAGGGCCTTACCATCAGTTGCAGAGAATAACCAATATTCTTAGCAATAGCCTGGGTTGTTTGGGGGACATTCACAGGGCCAATAACTTTACCAGATAAGATCCATTCCTGGTACGGGAAGCTTCATTTGGTGACTAGAGATGTCCAATGGGGCTCCATGGCCCCATTATGTGGTGATTTCATTTAGATTGCTTTCATGTGTATATATACTTTAGGAAGTTTCTATTATATTAAGTTTCCATGTGACCCCTCAAATGGCACTTATTTTTAACTGTCCCTCCCTGTATTCTCGCCTCTGCCCCCTCTTCCCACACCATCCCCATTTGACCATTCTTTTCCAGGCCCCCCACCTTGTCTATACCTATTTATTCCATTTCTCTTTCCTAGGGAGATTCATTCCTCCCATCTAGCTCCTTAGTTCATACCCAACTTCTTTGGTTATATGGATTGTAGCTTTCAGTTTTGTGAGATCCTAAATATCTTAGTGCCTGATCTTAGTGCCTGTACTAATGGTGTTGTGTTAAGTAAGTCTTTCCTTGTGCCAATGAGTTCAAGACTATTTCTTACTTTTTCTTCTATCAGATTTAGTGTATCCAGCCTTATGTTGAGTTCTTTGACCTGGTTGGAGTGGAGTAGATTTTTGTGCAAAGTGATAAGTATGGATCCATTTGGATTCTTCTACATGTAGCTGTCCAGTTTGACTAGCACCATTTGTTAAAGATGCTGTCTTTTTTTTTTCCAGTGTGTATTTCTGACTTTATAAAATCACATGTCCACAGGTGTGTCAATTTATATCTGGGTCTTCAACGTGTGTGTGTGTGTGTGTGTGTGTGTGTGTGTGTGTGTGTTTGGGTGCACTGTTCTGAAAACAGCTGTTAAGTCCATTTTGTTTATGACATCATTTATCATCATCATTTTTTGGTTGTTTAGTTTTGTCTGAATGTCTTGTCTACTGGCAAGTGCGAGGTATTAAGTCTTACACTATCAATGCATGTGGGTTAATACATTGAGACCAGGGAAGGAGGGGCCAGTCAGTGATCTGCTACAGAGCTGGGGGTTATAATTTGAGGACAGGTTGGAAAATGAAGATGGCTTGCCTAATTCCCTGACCGGTGTAGCTGGTGGGCCTCCAGTGAGTCAGAAGTGAATTTGTATATGTTTTTTTTTTCTGTTTTAGAACCTGACTTGAATTTTTAATTAAATAGAACATGGGGAGTATAGAGTTTTCTGGTTCCACTCTGCTTTTGTTCTGTTCTAGTCACAAACCGCAGATGTTATCTGCACTGGAGGAGAATTCAAATCTGTCAGCTGCCTTTGGTCATAACCCAAATAGATGATTTCACCTGGTGACAGGTTTCCTTGTGGCACTGTGGCTACTTTACTGGGAAAAAAAGTTAAGAGGATGCTGTTCCTAGTGTTCCTTTCTCTGTTTTCATTTATTGTTTAACTTATGTGAACTTTACAATACTTACATTTGAGAGATGATGGTCATGGTCCTTTATAATTTAGTTTGGGGAAGATATAAATCCAGTAAATGACTATGTAACATTCTTACAAGTTAGGACTCTCATATAAGAATCCCCCCCAAGAAATAATAAACCATCATTTCTGGTGATGAATGTTTATTTTATTTTCCTAAAGATACATAGGTGGAACACTGGAGTCAGGGCATATTTTGCAAAATTAAGAACAAATTAATTGCATAGATTTCCTGATGAAGTAAAAAGTTGCTCCTTGGTAAGGTTTGGGGTTCTTAGGTTTTGAGTTTTTGTTAATACCAGTTAATCTCTAACTCTAATGCAGTTAAAGATGACTTTGAACTCCTGAGACCCCTCTCTGTCCCTACGATGCTGGGATTATAGGTGTCTACCATTATGCCCAGTCTCATGTTAGACATATGTAAGAGTTTTTTACACTCACACACGCATCGTCCTTCCTTCCTTCCTTCCTTCCTTCCTTCCTTCCTTTTTTTCTATGTTTGTTTGTTTGCTTGTTTTGAAACAGGGTCTCACAATATAACCCTGGCAGGCCTACCTTTTGCTATGTAGATGAAGCTGGCCTCTAACTCAGAGATCTTCCTACCTCTGCCTTCTGAGTGCTTGAATTAAAGAAAGGTATGCCTCTCCACAACTGGTCTCCACAGTCAGAATTTTGACAAGCACAAGGTTCTAAAAACAACCATTTAAATGTCATTGTAATGCATAATGTGACTCTGTGTGGTGGCCTCTGGGAGACATCAGAGGGGTTGGGCTTATGAAAGACCTAGATATAAAAATAAGGCTTAAGTGGGTTTTGTGGCCATGAATCTGAGGACAGAGGGTAAAGTCCTGACTGCCTTCAATTGGCATGTAGAAGGTCCCCCAACCTCTGTGTCTTTAATCCAAGAGAAAGAAAAGGCCACCTTTAGTTTCTTTTTGTTCCCTGCAGAGAATGAGACTCCCTCTTCAGTTTGGCGTCCCGTGGCCCTGACCCTGCTGACCTTGTGTGTGGTGCTTCTCATCGGCCTGGCCGCCCTGGGCCTTGTGTGTAAGTCTGTGCTTGACCCTGCAGGAGGTCCCTAATCCCTTGGTCTGTCCAGGAGGAGAAACTCTTGCTATGAGTGTCTTAAAACCCTAACTCTGGAGCCATGTCCTCTTTCTGAAGGCAACTGTTTAAACGACTAGGAATTGGTGTGTTGAAATCCAGCAAGCATTTTCCAGTTAGAAGGAAACATCCTGTTAGACAAGCATTGTATCCATTTACATGTGAGTACATAAATCACCACTGTAGAGAGTCTGCACCGTTTCTCTCTCCCCTGCTCCACTGGTGCAAGTCCTGGTATCTGCTGTGATTACAGGTGTTACAGTGGACTGGTGCAGGGTTAGGGTTTCTGTACACATCCACCATTTGCACAAGGAGCAGAGAAGCATGCTAAGTCACTGTATTTATCAAAAAGGCTGGGAAATGATACCGTTATTATTATTATTTTTACAAAAAGGGAGGGTCAAACAAGGAAGATTGCATGTATAAAACATTTAAAAGCAGCAATGGTGTGTTCTCGATCTACTCGGTAAGAATGTACAGCCCCTTCTTGAACTGCTGAAGGTGACCCAGGCAAAAGCTATACAGGGAAGCAGATCAGGGGGTCATATACTGAGTTTCTCTGAAGCAAAAGTTAAATTTACAAACTTAAATTTAAGAATTTAAAAAGTCCTATTACTTCTCTCTCTACTCCCAAATTTCCATCACTCCGATACAACACTATGTTGCAATCGCCTTTTTTCTTCGGAAAGTAAAGTGACTCATGTGACTCATGACAGATTCCTCTAGATTTAGAAAACTGAAGTTCAAACTTGTGTTGAATTTTTTTTTTTTTAGTTGAGTGGCACTAAAGACTTCACTTGTCCTCACAGACCCTAACTACAAATGTACAAAAATATGGAAATCAGGTATGACCATTTTAATAATGGAGTGAATAATGGATGGTGCCAGTCTTCCATTATTCAATATAATAAGTAGTCAATAGATGAGTAGATTTACAGTTTTCCAACAGAGGTGGATGTACAAATTTGCCTGAGATGATGCAATTAACTACGCCCTTGGAAATAGCAACGTGAGCTCTCAGCACTAAGACATTAAATTATATACTTTATTGCCTCCCCCATGTGTAGAAAACAGATACAGGTAAATGAGCTGTCCAGTCTGACTTGATCACACGACTTAGTTTTTCAGTTCTACCAGCTCTCCAATACCCAGCAAGAGAACATCGCTGAACAGGAGGAAAGACTGGGAAACTTGTCCCGACAACTGCAGTCCCTCCAGAGCCAGAACAGGAGACTCACAGACACTCTGCAGCATGTAGCTGTCAAACTGTGTCGCGAACTTTACAATAAAAGTGGAGGTGAGCAAGATCCTGACTCTCAGACCATGCAAATTGTTCTATCTGGACTTGAATTATCCTTCTGGGTAACTATAACCATGTACTTTTAGAAGTACTTTTCCTGCCACGGCAGCAAACAGTTTGAGCTACCTAATCATGATCAGACATTGGGTTATAACTGCTTATACACACCTGTGTCCCCATACAGGAAGGGATTCTTCAAATTTCAGCCATTCAAACAGGAAAAATAGTTAACTTAGAATGACCTAAACAACACTGTCAGCAACTAATACAGGGATGTGCCTTAATCATGTCGGCAGACGCAAACCCAACACAATGAAAGTGTTGGGGATGTTCTAACTTTAATTTTCATTTTTTTTAAAAGACTCATGCAGGGGTTAGTTTCAAAATTCAGAGACCTTGAAGTAAATCATGGTTGTTTTAGTTCACGATGCCTTGTTTGTCTGTTCAAAAATATGAATCTTACAAAACAACAAAGGTAATGAAAAGGACTGTAATGGCCAAACCAAGATCATCACTGATGACAACTGCAAACATCACCCCAGTGCCCCACCCACCCCGCGACCCACTCTGTCTTACTCTTCTCCCTTCTTGAAGGTTTCCTCCTAGTACGTTGTATCCAAGTCAGCCCCCTCCTCTGCCCTCTCCACTGCACAAGCAGAGGCGGCAACCTACATTTTGCAGTCCTCGTTGGTTTCTCTTTTAGAAACTCTAAAATACCACAGTTTCATCACCATCCCTCCCCACACCACTTCCCCTTAAGCACAAAATGAGTGAATGATTTTTCCTGGTACACAGTGTCTCAAGGTGCACTTCTTTAAGCGGTTACTTTCCACAGGACTAGTGACCTCATTTACCGTAATTCTCTCTCTTCTGCTTCTCTGCCAGCCCAGTGGACTTTTTTCTTTTTCTTTTTTTTTTTTAGGATTCTACATTATGAAAAAGTTAATCGAGGTACCTCTGAAAACAATGGATACTGGAATTCTCATGTAGCTCTTACAAAATTATGCAAATAAGTCATACCCAGTTTAAATGCAAGTTGATAGGAATGAATGCTCTGTGAGGAGTTCAATATGCAAGAAAAATAGTCTGGCTCACAGATATAGATTGACTAATATCCTATGTGCTCAAAACCTAGTGAAAATAAACAACAGAAAGTGACCACATATTTTTGGATTATAGGGTTTCCATGTGCCATAAAACTGACTGTCTCAACCAGGCAGTGGTGGCACACACCTTTAATCCCAGTAGTCAGGAGGCAGAGGCACAAAGATCTCTGTGAGTTCAAGACCTACCTCGTCTTCAGTGAGTTATAGGATGTCCAGGGCTACACACGGAGACCCTGTCTTAAAATAAACAAACAAACAAAAAAATAATTGACTTGCCCGAGAGAGATGCCTTGCTGTACATTCTTGATACATTGACCATGTTGTTGCGATTGGCACATGAAGCCTTCTACATAGACAGGGACTTTGTAGGAGGAGCTTGCTGGGAGCACTCACGGTGAGCTTGGGAATTCTATGGCCATATGGTTTCACTAGTACACTACACACTGTGAACAAAACATCTGAAAGCCATGCATTTTTATGGCGAGCATTCATCTAGCTGATCGAAAGCATGCATTTCCCCTGAAACATGCTTATGTATACGTGCTTGTACTTATAGTATTCCTGTGTGTGCCGGGTCCTGGGGAAACTTTTTAAAAGCACTTTTAAAAGTTATTTGTTTTAGATTTGTTTTATTTTTATGTGCATGAGCATTTTGTCTGCATGTATGTGTATGCACCAGGTGCATGCCTGGTGCTCTTAGGGTGTCAAAAGGTCCTCTAGAACTGGAGTCACAGGTGGTTCTGGGCCACTGTGAGGGTGCTGAGAATTGAGCCTGGGTTCTCTAAAAGAGCAACCAGTGCTATGAACACTGAACCATCACTCTAGCCCCTTACTGTTACTTTTCCAGTTACCTAAGTAGTGTTAAATTCTAAGTCAGATGTAATGGTGTAGGTCTCTTTCTGTCTTTAGTTCCATGCTATCATTTCTTGTTTCACACAACAGTTTCAGACTTTAGTCCCTCTCCTTTCTACCTGATTATCTCTTCTATGAAATCATTGCTTTCATTCCCACAAGTGAATGAAAACATACAGTATTTGTCTTTCTGTGATTGTTTCTTTCCACTTAGCACAATATTATCTAGGTCTATGAACTTGCATGGAAATAGACATAATTTCTTTATATCACAATAGCTGAGTAGTACCCATTGCATATATATGCTTTACTTTCTTATCCAGTCTTCAGCTCATGGACATTTTGGCCTAGTCCATTTCTTGACTACTATGAATAGTAGTATAATAACCACGGGGGTAAAGATATATATTTAATATTATAGTTGGATTTCACTTGGATAAATGCATAATGGTCTGGTTATCAGATTACATGTTAGTCATACTTTGGACTTTTTGAGACATCTCCATATTTGTTTCCATAGTGTGTAACTAATTGACATTTTCACATACATTATATAAGAATTCTCCTTCCTATGCTTTCTTTTAAGTATTTGTTATTTTTCAGTTTTTAATTGATTGTCATTCTAATTCACAAGGATTATGTGGTATTCATTGTGGCTTTGATTTTCATTTTTGTGCTGATTTAGTCACAATTGGCAGCTTTTCATTACTGTTTGTATGTCTTTCTTTGAGGAAATGTCTCATGCATTGTTTACCCATTTTTTGTTGTTGGATTACTTGGAGGTTTTATTTTTGGGTTGAGTTTCTCACATATTCTGAATGTTTTCTCTATGTGGGTAGATTACACATATGTTCTTCCATTATGAAGGTTGTCTCTTCAAACCACTGCAGGGCAGCTTACACCACACATGTCATACTTGAAGCAGAGAAAAGGGCTTACATAAAGAGTGATATGTATGATACAGCCCGAGAACATGCCCCAGTGACCAATCTATAGCTTAGCCCCTATTTTCGACACCTCCTACTAAAGCCATCATATTTGTCACCAATCAAGGAATCAGTCTATTAATGATATCAAAGCCCTCAGAATCCAATTACTTCACCAAAGCTCAAAACTATGCTCCCAGTGCTTATGAGCCTATGGGAGGAATTTCAAACCATTGCATAGTCACAAGAGACCCCTCATGATGGAATGTTCTGTCCACATTCTGTACAGCATAGGTACAGAAGTTTCAGCCATTCATCACCAGATGCAGTACTTCTACTTTTCACTGAATGTTCAACACCAGCTATAGATCATTCCTGGTTGCTCACTCAAATTCTTAGGTGATATATATTAGTTTTGGAAGAGCAGACACTATGTATTTCCAAAAGAGGAAACACAGCAGATCCAGGTAGAAGATAACTGACCACAGTTGTTTGTTTCCTTCCAAGAACACAGATGCAGCCCATGCCCTGAAAAATGGAAGTGGCATGGTGGCAAATGCTACCACTTCTATAAAGAGAGTAAAAGCTGGCAGGGATGTGAATATTTCTGCCTGACTGACAATGCCACCATGCTGAAGATAAGCACACAGGAAGAGCTGGTGAGTTCCCGAGCCTTGGTATTTCAAGGACTCCCCTAAAAGAACAAGGCAAGAACACTGTAAGGAGTCAGGTTTCTGACCCACAGATTTTCTCACTTGCTCACAGAGAAGCCCAAGGCATACTCCAATTACTTCAAATGACCCCTGAAATGGATAAAAGCTATGTTCTCCCCAAATACCTACTACACAAAAATATGAGAAACAGCTCAACTCCCTTTCAGTCAACAGGCAGGTAGAAAATGTCATAATTTACCTGAGATCAGGTAGAAAGATAAGAATATTGGTACAATCTAAGAAAAGTGATAATATTATGGCCTGCCTTTCCATTGTAAACATTTAAAGGCTTTTAATTAAAAAATATCCCATCAAATAATTATAGTAAGCTGTGCGCATACACACACACACACACACACACACAAACACACACACTTTCCAGAAGGTTGGCCAAGGCAAATACAAGTATAGTTACAATAGTTCATACATTTAGATGTCTCTGGAACCTCATTGACCAACAGCTTAAAAGAAGGTGACAGACCTGGAAATAGGATTTTTTTTTCAGTGCTGGGGATTGAGTTCAGACCTCATGAATGCAGGGCAGACAATAATCTACCACTAAACTACATTCCAAGTCTTGTTGATACTTGCCATTTTGTTTGAGAGCCTATGGTGTCTGGCAGAGGCATTACCCCCCATTATAGGTTTAAACTCCATTTAAACTCTTTCATGTATGGGCATGCATGTATTTAGGAAGATACTAAAGTAGTAGATTTGTACATTGCTATTTTTCTTTTTTAACTGTTTAATTTTAATGGTTGCTGTCTTTTAAGTGACAGCTATCCTTTTCAGCATCTCCACAGCTACCAGCACCAACTCTTTCAAATCTACCAAGGAAACTTAACTGAAATCTTTGTCCCACTAAAGAACTCAAGAGTCAAAGGTTGAGGTAGAATCCTGTTTTGCAGAGAAGTTGAATAGCAAGCAGCTCCCCTAACTCACCTCTTAGAGTCTCCAAGAAGTCCTCTTGCTTCTTCTCACCCATCCTTACAAACCCTTCTCCACCTGGATCCTCCCTACAACTTCCTGTCAGCTAATTGCTGACTCAGCCTCCTGACTGCAGGTGCATTTAATCAAACATATTATCATTTAACCAATACTCCAGAGAATAAGCAAAAGTAACATTTTAAAAAATAGTATTCTACAGAAGTACACGGCATATTCAAAGGTCATTAATGTTAGTTATCCATCTCATATTCTGTCCTCTCCCCTGGCATCCCCACCTGCATCCCATTTAACCCTTCCTGTTCTATTTCTCTCCTTCATATCACTTGCTTTCTATCTCCTTTTGCTTGAAATCTCCCCTTGGCCGCTTACTCATTTCTTCCCTTCTGAGTATCCCAATTTCAACTCAGAGCTAGCATTCAAATATGAAATAAACACATGATGCTTGTCTCTTCATCAGAATATTGGAAAAATTGTCATATATTAGTGTATGGCTATATGTGTAGGGATGATATACATATACATATATGAAAAATTACATTTTTTCCTTCTTCCTAGTGTGGGCTTCATGTCACCCTTCTAAATCCCCTTTACTTCTTTTTACACTAAAGTATCTCCAAAATAATTTCACTTATTTCGTAAATATTTTTCCCACTTGTTTTTGTTCTGTTTTAACTCATCAATCAAGAGTAATGGCAATAACATTTAATGTTTAATTAAGTAATTAGCATTTAATTATATTTGGATACAGGGATTGAACACAAGGCTCAATGCAAGCTAGGCAAGCACTCTACCAACTGAGCCATGTCTCAGACCACCCACTTTTTTAAAATGCTGTCTCTGTATCTCTGTCTCTTTGCCTCTCTCTCTCTCTCTCTCTCTCTCTCTCTCTCTCTCTCTCTCTCTCTCTCTCTCTGGCCTTCTAAGAGGTCTCCATGTTATTCTTCCCGAAGCTATGTTAATCCCATTTGTCCCCGTACTCCTGGTTGAAGCATCTCAAAGCTAAACGTTTTCTTGTGTGCCTTTCACAGGATTTTGCCATGCCTCAGAGCTACTCTGAGTTTTTCTACTCTTATTGGACAGGGCTCTCCCGCAATGGCAGTGGCAAAGCCTGGCTGTGGACAGATGGGACACCGTACTCCTTTGAACTGTAAGCCTTCAGAACATTCTGTGCAAGAGGCATTTCATAAAGCAAGATGAGCAGAGCGGTTCAGCAGTAATTATGGACAACCTATTTTGTGCTGCACAGTGTGCTGGCAGGGGGATGCCCAGAGGTGCCTGTGTTGAAATGACTTAGAAAAGTGGGTGAGAGAGGGAGAGAGAGGGTCATCGCATATCAGCAGGTGCTTTCCTGCTTGATTTCAGCAGTGTCTAGGAGTCATTTTTCTGAGAAGCAGGGTAATAAGGAGGGAGAGATAATGTCTTTTGGATGAACAATTAAAGCTCTGTTAGAGCAAATTCCATTCTCTGTGTGTGGTAGAACAAGGCATAGTAATGTAATCATTTGCATTTTAATTAAGTAAGCTGAACTTTAACATTAAATTATCAGTGAACTTGGAGTGTGGTTCTGCTTTTTTTTTAAGAATAATTTTTATTGTTTTGAGTGGTAGGTTACTTCTAAGAATGAAATGGTGACTGAGTGGCTGAAAATTGAGTTCATTGACCCCATCTCTCCAGCAAAGACATCCTGGGGATATAGATCATGATCTTTGTCACCTGAGGAATGTTTTCTGTGGTTTCTGAATATACGACTTTAGAAATAAACTCTAGGAGAGCAAGGAAAGAGATACCTTAATAGAGGGAGCCACCATAGGTTTAGAGAGAAATCTGACACTAGGAAAATCTCCAGGGATCCACAAGGATGACCTCAACTAAGAATCTAAGCAATAGTGGAGAGGCTACCTTAAATGCCATTCCCCAATAATGAGATTGATGACTACCTTAAATGCCAGCATAGAGCCTTCATCCAGTAGCTGATGGAAGCAGAAGCAGAGATTCACAGCCAAGCACTGAGCTGAACTCCTGGAATCCAGTTGTAGAGAAGGGGCAGTAATGAGCAAAGGGTCAAGACAAAGCTGAGGAAGCCCACAGAAACAGCTGACCTGAGCAAGCGGGGCTCACAGACCCCAGTCTGACATCTGGGGAACCAGTATCAGACCGAAGCAGACCCCTGAATGTGGTGTCAATTGGGGAGGGTGCACTTGAGCAGTTTATGAGGCCTCTGACAGTGGAACCAGTATTTACCTCTAGTGCACTGATGGACTTTGGGAGCCCATTCCCTATGGAGGGATCCTCTCTCAGCCTAGATACATGGGGGAGGGCCTAGGTCCTGCCCCAAATGATGTGACAGACTTTGATGATCCCTCACGGAAGGCCTTACCTTCCCTGCAGAGTGGATGGGGAGGAAGGATGGGAGGCTGGTGGGGGGAATGGGAGGACAGGAGAAAGAGAGAACCGGGATTATTACGTAAAATGAGATTGTTTTCAATTTTAATAAAAATAATTTAAAAAAGAAATAAACTCTGATTAAATTGAATTGTTTTCTTTTTTCTTTAAGGTTTGAGATTATAATCGATCCCACCAACCTGAGAAACAGGGACTGTATGACCATCTTCAATGGAAAGGCTTACTCAAAGGACTGCAAAGAGCTGAGAAGGTGTGCCTGTGAGCGGGTGGCAGGGAGAGTGGTACCCGAGGTGCTTCAGCAGGTGGCATGAGCCATTGAGCAGTGCGGGCCAACAGGTCAGCTTCAAATGCCAGCCAGCAAAGGGGCCGAGTCAAGTGTGGCCACCGCAAAGGACATTCAAAGCTTTGAGAAACACTGGGGCAGCTGCTGGGACCGCTGCTTGAGAGGTTCTTCTCATTCTGATTCTGCATCACCCGTAACTGAGTTCCGGGTTCTTGCACATATGTGCCTGTCAAAGGATTCTTACCCACGAACCACCAACTAGCCCCGGTAAGCAAGATAGTCGTCCTCCTTGATTTACAGAAGCCTTTCAGCTGTCTCCCTTCTCGGTGTCTGTTTTCACCCTCTTATCCATGCCTCCCTTACACTAGGAAAAGAGAGACACATAAGAAAATAGAGGCACTGATAGGAAGCCACTAACTGTGCGTGGTGATGTCCACGCAAGGACTGGCGCCTTCTGTCTCTCAGCACTTGGAAGGTAGAGACAAGACATGAAAAGTTTGAGGCCACATCAGCTACGTAGCAAGTCGGAAGCCATTGTAGGCTGTATGAGAACCAGTTCTCAAACAGAAAGAAAGAACAAGAGAGAAAAGAAAGAAGAAAGGAGAAGATCAAAGCAACACAGAGAACAGAAAAAATTGAAGAGGAGTCCCTTTTCCCAACAGGCAGTTCGAAAGAACTAGTGGCTGTCCCCCTGCTGTGGTGTTCACACAGCTAATCCATTTTGTTACCAACTGCACTTTGCCTTTCCCAGGCTCTCAGCAATGATTTCCCCTGCTATGCTGTGGCCACCTCTTCAACTGAGATGGTTCTCATTATGTCAGTCTCCATTTCATCAAGTGTGTCTCTCTCCTAATCAATCAGATCTCCTAGGAAAGAGATGATGTCAACTCTGATCTAAGTTAGAGTTGCTGTCTCTATACTCCAACAAGGAGACTGGAGTACAGATGAAAATTATTCCCTTTACATGCATAGATAGTAGTTTGATTTCTTCCTCCATCCTGTTTGAACCGTGTTTCTACTTTTCAGGTACTGAATATTTAATAATAATAAGTGTGAAGAATGTGAAACAGATGCTGTTTTAGAAACGGATTTGTGATTTCAGTGAATGCTTCGACTGCTTGTACCTTGGCAATTGGTGGGGCCACTCTGATGGTTTCACTTATGGGATATCTGAGGATAAGAAAGCGTGCAAAGCAAATCATTTTCAAGAGGATGGACTTATGATATTCTTAAAGTGAAATGATTGTGGCAAAATCATGACATTGAAGTTGGTGTTTTGAGTAACCGAGGTGTGGTAGACCACATGATTTCTAAACAGGCGTTGGAGGAGAAAGAGACTCTTGGCTAGACATGAGTTTCACTGCATGATGACATTCAAAGCCACACCAGGGGTCATTGCGAATAGCACTGTGTCAGCTGGCTTCACTGGTTATAGATGAACCAGCATTACGGGTTTGACAGTACCAGTATCAGACTTCACACACTTAGTTTTCAACAGCAAAATCTAGGAAACGTCTACTTCATTGTGAAATTACATTCAGTTAGCCCTTTTGTGATGAGAACAATTCTGTATTTTCATAGAACTTAATTTGATAATGGTTGCTTATCTAAACGCTACTGGCAGACTGCTTAAGTTTTCCTTTAGATTTCCTTCTAACTACCTAGGGGATTTTTTCAATAATGAATGAATTCTATGCAAGTTTACTGTGTCAAGCAAACAGAAATGTACTTGTGATTTTAAAACGTGAGGGGTTTAGGTCTCTCTTGGTTTGATTTATTTATTAAGAAAATCACATCACTTCATATAGATGATTAAACAGTGGAAATATTTTAAATTTCTCTACAATGTTACTTAAAAATGAAGTGTGAAATTAGTCTCATAATGTAGGTTGCAATAGAAAATGCAAGGGAAATATAGAGCATATTTAAAATAGTTTAATGACTCTTATATAAATATGGGGAACAAATGCATCTGTAGTCATTAAAGATGAAAAAATATTCTCAAATATTTCTCATAATTTACAAAATGGTAACTGTTTTCCCTGCTCAGTTAAAGCAATTCATACAATAACCTACAAAATAAGAAATAAAGATCAAGGTCATCATTAAGCAATTGTTGTATAAACCTACTGCACAAGGAACTAGTCAGCAAGAGAAAGTCGAAAATGTACTTAATTGTAAACAAAGATCACAGCTCTTATTAAAGTTCTTACTCCTGGCATTCTGGGCTCCCAGAGGGAAGACATCGGTCTCTCTAACTACCATTGATTGGAAGAGTCTAACTATCTAGAGGGTGAATAGCATTCTCATTTACAATCTGAGATAACAAGTAAAGTGTCATTTCAGTTGAAAAGAGAAAAATTCTATTTTTTACAGTTCCTTTCTTGATCTTATTCTTCATTCTTGCCCTTAGTCCTCCTTTCTGTATCCAAACCTGATAATACTGATAACGACATAAACAAACATTCCAAAAAATGAGAAAGTGTGTGTGTGTGGGGGGGGCTATGGTACAATATCACCTCCTCAAATATTTAAGACATGAGAATCAAAATTAATTTTGAGATAAGGTTTGCTGAAAATCAAAAATGGAAACCACATGTACTGGCTTTTTCAGGATGAGAAGACAGTTTTCTAGTCTCTTACTATGTAGGTAATTGTGAAGAAAGTGCAGGAAGAGTCAAACAGGAGACATGGCTTTTCCCATAGACTGAGGTCCCTCGGGTACACAATGAGCTATTTCTTTTCCTGAGGATATTGAACACTCTCAGGACTTATCAGCAGGAAACAGGTCAGGGGCCTGGTGACAGCAGGAAGTTTGAGAAGGGTAATGGTAATTCTCCAGCTTTTACTTGGAGAATACAAACAGATTACAGACTAGGTACAAGAGCTGAGTGGTTGTCCTGGGGCCAGCCTTCATGTTTGGAAGTCAAGTGCAGTTTTTCAAAGACACACAAAGACTACTGGGTGAGTTAAGATACACAAAACTGACTGTATGAATAGATCTTTAGACTCTAACAACAGATTTATTACTGTACCAATATTATTATTTCAGTATTTAGTTGGTGCATTTAGTGTGCAATACTATGTAGCAGAACCTGTTTCCAATTGCAGAGTAATTATCATTTTCTCTTTTTAATAAGTTTGGGAGGTGAAATGGATTAAAAATACCTAATTCATCATTGGTAGGATTGGGACATGAAATTGATCCTCTTATGGCTAGTTACCATAAAAAAGGACAAGGATCCTGGATCACTAGCAACCTGTACTGAGAATTTTCCGAACCCTTGCATCTGGTAGGTGCAGCATGACTGCCTGGGGTATTGCAGACTCTTATAACAGCTGCACTGTAGATAAATCTCTGGCTTGTAAATCCAGCACCGTATATATACACGCTGGATAACATCAGCCAGAGGATGTTTGCATATGATTTCCTTGTACTTTTTTTTTTTTTTGAGAAGAATCATCAATGCTTCCCATCCTTTTTCTAAACATAGCTCGATGACAAGCCTTTGAAGAATCTCAGAGACAAACAGTCTTTACTATTAAAAATCACCATTGTTTCTCTGTTTTCCAGATTAGTATATTTAGCTACCAGCTGCCAGCTGTGAAAACCAAACAACCTACAACTTCCAAGGTCTCTGGGTATTTATTCTCCCAGGGTCAGCAGAAGACTAGAGAAATTTCTATTTCCTCCCTGTGTGTGTGTGGGGGGGCAGACTTTAAATGTCATGTCAAGGTAAATAAACAAAAACAAGACAAAGACATAATCATCTTCTTGCTACAGGAGCGTAGCCACTAAGAAATGAACTTCAGGCTAAAGAATGCTTAGTTTCAATTTAATAATTTCTGCTGCCTTGGTAAATCAGGTTTTTAAAAAAATTATTTATCTAAGTTATGTCACTTTAATAAGAAGGAAAGGATGAAATCTTGTACCTCTCAGCATCTTCTTGTCAGAATGGAAGACTAAATTCGATCACATTGAATTTAGCAGCTATTTATTGAGAGCTTACTGTGCATTAAGGTTTAGAGATTGCACATGGCAGACAGGAATATGATAACAACAATAATAAAATCTTTCCTTCCTGTAGATTAGATGGCAAGTATTTTCCTTCCAACTTTCCTACATAAAACATCATTTTCTTTAGTTTGTATATAACATTAGGGTTGCATTTTAAGCAATATTTTTATTAACTTTTTACTATTAAAAACAACCTTATTTTACATACCAATCCCACCAAGTACCCCCTCCCTCCAGTCTTCCAACTCCCCCCATAATCTCCCCATCCCACCTACCCCCACCCACTCATCAGCGAGGGTGAGGCCTCCCATGTGGGATCATCAAAGTCTGTTACATCATTTTGGGCAGGACCAAGGCCCTCTCCCGTGTATCTAGGCTGAGAAAGTCTCCCTCCATAGGGAATGGGTTCCAAAAAGCCAGTTCATGCAGTAGGGATAAATACTGGTTCCACTGCCAGCAGCCCCATAGACTGTCCAAGTGACACCCACGTTCAGGGAGCCTAGTTTGTTTAAGCAGTATTTTGAAGTGAATCATACTGTGATTTTTGTAGTGGGGAAGTTGAGACACGAAGACCAGCAGTTGAAACCACTAGGTTGTTAATCTTGGCCTTGCAGACTATTTGATTGGTGAGTGGTGAGATGGATGGTCCCGCCTATAATGCAGGATATGCTGACACTGATGTTCTAAGGGTTCCTTTCCCAATAGAACTCTGCAGCCTGAAAAGCACAGTCCAACTCTACATATAAAGAAGCCTTCATCCCTTCTGAGACAGATCAGATGGAGTCAATGACTCTACATCTCTAAGGCATGAGTTAAACTTTGTTAAATGTTAATTTTTTATAGGCATGGTTAAGTGCTATTAGAATTGTAATATATTGGGTTTCATTAAGTCTTTATTGTAAACAGGCTCTTAATGCCTGTGAATGATTCAAGCTATCAGCCAAGCAGCCTCTTTACAAACAACTGACCAGACTGTCCTGATGGCAGTCCAGCACTCTGGGCACTTTACTCTGAGGACACACCCGCTACTGAAGGGAACCACTACCTCATGGCTTAAGACAGGGTCCAGTTGTGACTGCACCCATAGCTGGAACAGCCTGTGGAAAGTAATACTCCTTGGCAAACTGCAGATGGCCAGGTCTATCCTGCAGCTATTCACACTCTGGCCAGAGAGGGAGCACTTCCAACCTGTGGGCCTGAGGGGAGGCCCGTGGATGTGTCAAGAAGTGTATGCACTGTGAATTGTGCACACACAGCCCTTGAGGGGCTGCATGACTGACACAGACCATCACACCCTCTTCTTGTCTGTTAATTGAGTTGTTTGGTTTAGTTTTAGAGTCAGCCGGCAGACCCCTCCTCTGACACTCCTGATCTTGCAACACTAGGGCCAGTAAAAGACTCCCTGAATGGTCCTTTCTTTCCTCCTTTGCTCTTTATCATTAGAAGAGTGGGCTGAGCTGGCAACACAAGGGAAGTTGCAGAAGCACAAGGTGGTAGCAAAGGCAGAAGCGGCTACTGCTGTGATGGTGACAGCTGTCACCATCACTAGAGCAGTAGAGATGGACATGGGAACAGCTGAAGAATTCTGGAAAGTGGCCATGGCAGAAAGGATAGCAAGCGGAAGCAGAGAGACACAGAGGAATGTGGACATCCAGATTACAGGAGAAAAGGCAGAAAAGCAAGGCTGAGTATAGACAGCAGAGAAGATAAACAATGGGCTCAGGGAACAGCCATCCAAGAACCGTAACACCAGTGAGAGCAGCCTGCTGCCACTGACTGCTATCTGCTGCTTCTGCTGAAGGTCAAGGACTTCAAAAGCTGTCAAGAGCTGAGGCCATGGGTAATTAAATCCCAGAGAAATAAGCCTCCAGCCTGCACAGGCAGATCCTAGAGTAATAGACCCCAAGCTCCAAGGGTTAGGAACCTCAGGCCTTTATATCTGTTAGGTCCACCCCTAGGCCTTGGCCCTCAGAGGAATTACCTCTGAGGTCCCCCATCCTGCTCATTTCTATCTAGCGCCAAGGGACCCCAGAAATGGCTGGTGGTAACACTACAGTTTGGAAATCATTCTGCCTTCTTTCTAGGTGTGAGCATACAATATATAATTCCTGGAAGCTGAGCTGAAGAAAAATCTATCAGTTGTTAAGTATAGTGGTAAGTTTATTTTTTAAAAAATCAGGAATTACTGTACAAACTCTGCCAATGATGACTAGATTTCTTTGTCATATGGATAGTCACTTTGGACTTCCAAACAATCAGGAAATGATTTTCTCTTCTTTGTTCTCAATGAGCTAGGTCTTCTGTAGTCCTAAATCAATTTTCTTCTTGGTATACTATAGGACAAGGTCAGTTGAAATCTGCAAAACATTCAAGAGTATTGCCAAGACAAATTTAAAAGCAATTTTGCCTTATTGGTCCACACATCATTTGCTGTTTGACCTCTCTCTCCCAAACCTTCGTGCAACGGAGATGGCTCTGGGCTGTATCTTTCAGATGCAGGATCCAAGTGCATTTTTCTCACAAATAAAATATTTCCATCTGCTGCAGTTATCTGAGAAGAGGGATTTGTCTTTGATGTATCCACAGATCTGGCTGGCAGATAACTGTTTCTGTGTTGTTGGCAATCTGAAAAAGCAAGTTAGATTCCCAGGTTAGAGTTTACATTTGAAGGTAACACTGGTATTTGACAAGGAAATACTCCAGAGATACTGTTGGATTTATTTTTAATTTGCTTGGATGTGGCATTCTTTTATGGTGGTTTTATCTTCCTTCAAATAACAGCTATTCAGTTTTAATAAAAATGCATTGATATAATTTGAACAAACAGCTTATAAAGAAACCCAAGCCATTTACATAAAGGTAGGTTCTAGCTAGTGTGGTTCTCTTGACTCAGTTCTCAAAATACTAAGGCACCTGATTATGTCTACCAATCTCCATTACCATCTGGAAAGTTCAATATAGAAATTGCTCAGTAGTCATTATAGTCTCTTGACCAGAAGGCTCTCTCAGCATTGTTATATAACGAATGTTCTTAACACTTGATTACTCATTTAGGCACTTGAATTATGACAAGAATTTTCTAGAAGATGGTGATAGGGGAACTGATGGATAAGATTTAGAAGCTGTGTTGAATAGTTTTATGTCAACTTGACACAAATGCTAAAGTCATCTGAGAGGACAGAATATTGATAAAGAAAATATCTCCATAAGGTCCAGTTGTAGGCAAGAAATGTAAGGCATTTCTTAGTTAGGAATTGATGGTGGAGGTTTAGTCTATTGTGGATGGTGTCATTTCTGGGCTGGTGGTCCTGGATTCCATAAGAAAGCAGGCTGAGCAAGCCATGAGGAGCAAGCCAGTAAGCAGCACCCCTCATGACTTCTGCATCAGCTCCTTCCTCTAGGTCCCTGCCCTGTTTGTGTTCCTGTCCTGATTTCCTTCCATGACGAACAGTGATACGGAAGTGTAAGCTAAAGTAATTCTTTCCTCCCCAACTTTGCTTTTTGGTTATGGTATTTTCAGTGTTTCATCTCATCAATAGAAACAACAAAGCCAAGTCTTAAGTATATCAGTTATAATTCTAATCAGTATCCTCTTAAAGTGTCATGATTCTGTGCCTTCTAGAAGAAATACAAGGTACAAAGTAAACATTTAAAACTTCTTCACATTCCTAGTTTCCCTGTCATGTCTCCTTCATACACTTACAAGTCAGAGAGAGGAGAGGAACCATCTAGCCAGAACCAAGATCGGCTGAGTTCATCTTGATACACTCCCACCCAGTACTCCTTTTCTTTGAGATTCCACAGGCTGGGGATCATAAAATCCTATTAAAAAAAAAAACAAGACACAAACTATAAATTCAGAAAAGTAAATACAAATCCCAAATTACTGTGCAATATAAAGCACGATTTTTGCCAAACCAGAAATCAATGAGAACTTGAGTGTTGGGGGAAAAAATAGTAGATATTAAAGTGAAGTGGGAACACACACACACACACAAACACAATTCTTCTGTTGTATAGTCAATATGGTGTGTTAAATACCATGAAAATATGTGCATCTGGAATTCAAGTTTTCATAGATTCTGAGTCTGGCAGATAGTATGTGTCAAAGCAAAGCAAGTCTTAATATTAACCCTTTATAATCAAAAGTAAAAATTTCACTTCCTTCGTTCACCATGTGAGTCAATTTCTCCCTTAGCGTGCAGCTTTGGAGATTCCAGCCCCAACTCACTGTGAACACATTTTGTTAGATGAAGTGTGTTTTATTTTGTCATCAAATTTTTGGAGAGGGTTGTAAGAGTATGATTTTTCTGCCCGCCGCCTGGTATTGTCCTGCCGCTGCGCCACCAGCCCCAAATAACACACAGAGACTCTGTATTTGATACAATACTGTTGGCCCGGTTACTTGTTACTTATCGGCTAGCTTTGCCTTTAATTATTAACCCATTTCTATGTATCTTCACATGGCCTTCTCTTACCGGGAGGCGGCTGGCGTCCAGCTCTCTCCAGACTCTCCATCTTGACTCCTCCTTACTACTTCCTATTTCCTTCCTTGTCTCCTAGTCCCTCCTATCTTCCTTTCCTATTGGCCAACAGTGCTTTATTATTAACCAGTATGAGAAACATATACAGAATGACATCTCCCATCATCTCCTCTTTTCTGTCTAAATAAAAAGAAGGGTTTTAACCTTAACATAGCAAAATATATCACATAACAGTTATCAAATAAGAATCACAGTTAACACTATTTAGTCCATTAACATTTAGCAAGATTTGAAGAAAATATTCCATCATCTATCATATATTTGTGTGTCTAAAGTCTAAGTAACTTATCTTTAATACTAAGGAAAACTGTAACCATAACTCTCTGTCTTCAAGTCCCTCAAAGACCACAGAAGGATAGTATAAACTCTAGAAATGACAGAGACAACTCACTGCCTGGTCACCCAAAGTTCTTTTGTAATCTTCCATCTTCAGCCCATAGGCCATAGTGTGTCTGGCAGACTCTTCAGCAATGCAGGAAACTTTAAACTGTCTTCTTGTATTGGCAGTTTATCAGTCACTTTTCTCTGTGTCCTACATACTGTCTCGCAGACTCTTCCATGAAGCAGGAACTCTGTAGCAATGTCCATCGTGAATCAGCAGTCACTTTTCTGTGGGCCCTGCATGTCCAGTTTATATAGCACAAAGTCAAACAGTCCAGACAAGAGCAGTATCTTGTCCAAATGGCTAGTCTTGCCATATTGGAAGCAAACTTCATAATGCATTTCTTCGATGTCCATCTTCCTTTCTGGTGCAGGTGGTATTACCAAGAGCAATTATGTCTCTCTGTCACAAAAACCCTAAACCACTTTAAATGCCATATTCTGTAGGTCTTTGAAAGGTTTGAAGAATTTCTATCTATCTCAAATACATCTCTGTGTATCTTGAAAAACCTAACTAACTTAACTCTAAGCTTTGACTATCATAGGTAATTATCTATAATCTGTACTACATTATATTTCTATATAAACACAATACCTAAACAAGAGGAGAAATACACATCTCACAAAATTGACATTAAATTGTATCAATAAATGAAAATCCATTCCAAAACAAAGTCATCATATCAATACCATAATTCCCTTTTTACCTTTAAAAATAATTGGCTGTGATCATTACCCATTTATAACCAAGTCCATTTACATGAAAACAAACATTTATAAACAATGTTTGGGAATTTGGGCGTCGTTCTTTCCAAACTACTTCCTGCTGACAGGGGGCGCTGTCATGGGGATCTTAAGAAGATGCAGAAATCCTGGCTGTAGTCTGCAAGGCTGCCTTGAATGTTGAATGTTGGATCACCAGCGACTCTGTTTCAGGGGGCCTGGCTTGATCAAACCACATTAGTCTGAAAGGAATCCACAGCTTTTCATTTTCTGTGGAAACAAAAATAGAAATCCTTTTCCCCAGTAACTTGTCCTTGAACTTAAATGTTTGAGTCAAAGCATTTTTAAAATATATAAATTGAATTAATCCAGCATCATTTCCTTTATCAGTTGTTGTTATTTTCTCAGCAGTCAAACAATGTAGAGACAACACAATAGCATACAGTAACCAGATTCTCTCTGAGTTTTTCATCTTTACGTGGCTTTATTATTACTCTGTTTATTTTACTTTTATTTTTTATTTTTTGACATAGGGTTTCACTGTGTAACTCTTATCTGTCCTGGAATTTACTCTGCATACCAGGTTTACTTTGCAAATCACAGAGATCAGCTTGCCTCTGTCTCCTGAGTGCTGGGATTAAAGGCGTGTGTTACAACACCCAGTTCCTCTTTGTCTATTTAAAACCATTTTTCTTTTCATGTCTACGTATATTTTAAAACACACTGTAAACCTTTAGAGGTTTTTCTTAATATGAATCTGTCTTTACTGTAAATCTTTATCTTTGTCTGGCCACAAGTCTTTTATCTGGTAAACAACAACATTGCTAAAATGAAAGTCATAGCCGTGTCAGCCGCGGTTTATCAAAGAGGGCAGTGGGTACCTTTACCGCCAGCAAAGAAAGCTGTGCTCACCGCCTTGGTCTGCGCTGCCACCCAGAAAGCATGTCTGTTTGTCTCTAGCAAAGCAGAGTTTAACTGAGAAAAATGCTGCTACCAAGAAACCTTGCTTGTCTCTGTTCTTTTGTTTGTAAAACCTGTTTTTAAGGTTTTGTTAAATTTTAAGTGGAAGTTCTTATTAGCCACGTTGGGCGCCATTTGTAAGAGTATGATTTTTCTGCCCGCCGCCTGGTATTGTCCTGCCGCTGCGCCACCAGCCCCAAATAACACACAGAGACTCTGTATTTGATACAATACTGTTGGCCCGGTTACTTGTTACTTATCGGCTAGCTTTGCCTTTAATTATTAACCCATTTCTATGTATCTTCACATGGCCTTCTCTTACCGGGAGGCGGCTGGCGTCCAGCTCTCTCCAGACTCTCCATCTTGACTCCTCCTTACTACTTCCTATTTCCTTCCTTGTCTCCTAGTCCCTCCTATCTTCCTTTCCTATTGGCCAACAGTGCTTTATTATTAACCAGTATGAGAAACATATACAGAATGACATCTCCCATCAGAGGGTAATTATTTTTATATAATTGTAATGTAGTTTAAATCTTCTTTATTTACTGTGTATTTTTTTTAACACTTCCCATTGTTCTTAAAAAACTGAACTTCAGCTATTGAACATTTTTATTAGGATGAGAAACATCTGAGAATTCTACGTCAGATATTCTATTTAAGGGTGGAATGGCTTCAGCAGACATTGCATTGCTTATTTATCAAGATCCTAGTAAGATAGGCTAATAAGCTTAACATTTCACTTATCCAGTGCTCAATCTTACAAGCCAGTTCTTTTCATGACATCACTTCAGGTTTTTTTCCTTGTAACTTTTGTTGTTTTTGAGTCATAGTTGATACACAGGCCTTAAACTCGAACTCCTCCCGTCTCACCCTTCCATGTACTGGAATTACATGCATGAGTCATCACATGCAGAGTGGGACTTCAGTTTTCATACTTCTGTTTCTCTCTGAGAATTATGATTATTCTGTTCCCTGTAGCACTGAACATAATGCATTTAAAAAAATCTACAGCTGGGATGTATATGTACACACTGTCTGTGCATAAAATACCTGTATTCCTCAACTTCTGGAAAACCAAACTCGTTTTCACTTCTCTAACTGAAGGGAAAGTAAACTATATGAATCTCTACATTGTCTCTTTACTTTTGGATATTGCAAATATACCACTGCTATGGAAAATTAAGGAATCCTATCTTATGAGAATCTGTACTTCATTTTAATGCATAGCATGGTGTTTGCAGAATGACACAGATCATAGAAGAGTCTTTACCATTTCCTCTTTGCTGTCTATTTGAAGGAGACTGGCGCCCTCCTTTAAACAATTCTCCTTACTGTCGTTCCACATTTTCCAGAGTTGAAAGAAATAGTAACAACTTTTTCCATGCTGAATCCAGTTGTGTGGACAAGGGCTGCAGTTACTACCTTCAAAACACAAACATTTCCTTAATTGTCAGTGCATGAAACTGGAAAACTGACTCCCTCAAGATAACCAAATGAAGCTCATGATGCAACACCAACCAAGCCAGCTTCTCTGAGGCTGGGCACAACATCAGTTATATAATTTATACCTGAAATAGCTCTCTGATAATTAGTTTCAGTTAAAGATCAGCGTGGAGATAACTTCATCTAAACTGGTCTATTTTCCACCACTGAGCCATTGGCCAGGACGAGAAGTAAGCCTTGAGTTGATGTTTTAATTCTGAGACTTAAGAAAGAAAAAAATTTCATGTACAAGAGAGAAATCAGTTAATATATGAAAAGTGTGGTTTGGAAACAAGTAGGTGTGTACAGGGCATATAAAGAAGCATGTCTTAGGGCTTCACTATAACTAAAACCTAGGCTTCAATATTCAATGTGTTGTATAAGGAACATGTGTTATAAACAATACACTCACAAAAGATAACCAGTGACCTGCACACAGAGGAACTAAGCAGCATAGATTTGGTGAGAGGTTCTAGCAGAATCTTATAAAGGGTGACATGGAAGTCTGGTTATTAGAGAGTAGCACTCATGTGAGGTGAGAAACCCTTCACACGTGGTTTCCAAGATGGAATATTGAGTCCTTTGTGGCTTTTCAGTAGCCTGTGTGTTGGAATCAGTGCTAATCAGCATGCTGAGTGCTATGATAGCCATGGGCAGGGTGGGGGGAAGGGGGTGGGATGGGGGTTGTTAGCGTTGAAATGGTGCTTGGAAAGTTGGAGAACAAGATGGATTAGCAGATCTCCAAACTAGGTTATCATTGTAGTCAGTGTTGATGGTTCAGAGCAGGGACTGACTCATGCTTATAATAACCTGATATATTTAAGAACACTCCTGACACTGGGTGACTCTGCCAACAATTCTTTGAATTAAATGTCCAATTAGAAGGAACTATGAAGACTGTAGTGGTGACTCGGCACTTCAAAACACGTACCGTTCTTGCAAAGGATCCAATTTAGGTTCCCAACACCTAAGGTAGATGGCTCCCAGCTATGTGTAAATCCAGCTGCAGGGGATCTGATGCTTTGGCCTCCTCTGGCATTGCACTCACTTGTTCATACCCCACACAGATACTTTCCCACACGCATGCATACACTTAAAAAGCAAATCTTGTTTTCTAAAGAAAACAATGATAGTTTTTTTTTTCACATTAATTCAAAATTCAAATGGTACCTTCTAGCAGCAATTTAACTTCCTAAATAATTATTAAGTCACCATGAACTATTTAACAGGTGGTAATAAAATTTTTAGGCTTAAAATAGTCATGAGATAAAAGTGAATTAGCGCTATAAATTTTTAGAAGTGAGCCTTTCATGTTATAATAGTTTTATGATACTCTGATTTTCAAAGTCAATTTTCCCCAGGAGCCCTGCAAGAGGAACAGAAAACACTTGGAACTCACGGGACACTGCTGGGGAGCGGAGCGGGAAGTGTTGGAGAGACAGAGCCCTAAGGACTACATGTCCTGAGGACCTCATGCTGTTGTTATTAAGCATAGCTCATAATCTCCCATTTTGTAAAAACTTTAAGAAGGCTTCTAGCCACTCACTGTGCAGTGTTACTGGTACTTAAAGTAATAGTGATTGACTTTTCCAAGCATTGCTATTAGAACAGATTAATGATTCAATCACCACACTTAGAAAAAATGTAGATACGTAGAATTATTAGTATGGGTAGGTTAATGCACTTTTGTTAATGGGTTGAAATAGAAAATCTTGGGGAAAAATTTAAAGTTTAGAAAGGCTCACTTTTAATGAGCCAGGGACTCATTGAGGTCAAGAAATGAAAACGATGGCAGCCTGGCTATTGCTTTCTTGTTAGGATGGGTTGGTTGATCAAAGAGGATGATTAATTCCTTGTACCCATTGCTGCCCTCAGCTTTATGATATGATTTAATTTAAAAAACTGTTGATGAGTGGGTATACACCCTGAGGATTTAAAGATGACTGATTTTTATACATAAAGATTTAAATTTGTGGTAGTTTAAAGATTTTTATAAGACTACCTTTTGAGATAAATAATAAAATGATTGATTTTTTTTTTTGTAACTGCATAATGATGGGAGATGTCATGCAGCCAGGAAGTGTAAGAACTATAGGAGGAAAATACTTGCTTGCTTACACTTCATTAATCGAGTAAGTTGCTTAGATGAATGTATGTGGGCCCTTCAAAATATTTTTTACCTGTAATATGTAAAATGCTTAATCGTGTAAGGAAAATGAGAACCTTGCTGTTTTTTTATTTGTATATATTGTAATCATTAACTTGAAAAGTAGAATGTAACCACATTGCAATCTTTACATTACTTGAAAGATTTTGCTGGGGTAGATAATCCATAAGGGGAAAAAATAAAGTTAGATGGAAGGAAGACATCAGGAGAGAGATAGGAGGGATACATCAGAAAAGATGAAAGAAATAAAACAATAGAGAGATCCTGAAGATGTGAGTGTGTGTGTGTGTGTGTGTGTGTGTGTGTGTGTGTGTGTGTGTGTTCTTTTGGCACTGGCCCCAAAAATTAAGTTTTACTCCCTCAGATAAAAAGTCCATTGAATGATTAGCTCACCATCTATTCAACCTCCCCCCTCCCCCACCCCACCCCCGTAGCCTTCAGTTGCTGAATTCTAAAAGCCAGTCTTTACAACAGCAAATTTTTATGCTTAGCTATCTATAATTGAGTCTAAAGCAGACATTTGGGACATTTGAAGCTAGAATTGAAAATAGGCCTCGATTTGAGTGTCTGAGTGAAACACATTGTTGATTTTTAAAGCCAAGCTTAGGGATCACACACATTCCACTTGATCTTGCTGTAAGATTTGTAGCTGAACTTTTAAGGAGATGTAGATGAAGCTGAACCAACTGTAGAGCAACAAAAGTTACATCATTCTTGGCAGCTGCAGAGGGCCAAAGAAAGCTCAGGGCTGTGACTCTCAGCAACCTAAAGCATTCAGATAATCTTTCAGAGACAGGAACTCTGGAAAAACTGGGATTTGTGGGGCACAGAAAAGGACAGTTTGAGACAGAGGAGATTATGAAAGATATTTTAACACAGACTAAAATAAGCATGAGGGTTAGGCTAAAGAAAAGCACTGAGAAAAAAGTAAAAGCCACCCAAAAGCACTTTCCCTAAGGTTAAGCTGTCGAAACTAAGACCCAAGTATGGGTGTGGGCTCCTCAAAGAGAGCCACCAGCAATTGCCTTCTCATTAGGCCTGTGTGCAGTTCTGCTGGCTCTAGGATTACAGCGCAAACTGTTTGTAAGAAATCCTTGCATTTTGCTATGTGAAAACATCAGGTAGCTCTGGGGACGCCTTGGGTGGAATTACAATCTGATAAGGTAAAACCCAGGACACTAAGGCTGCACAGGAGTTCAGTTCCCGTCCTTTCCCTTTAAGATTTCTATCTAGTTCCTAGAAAATTACAGGTTTCCAGCTGAAAGGAGAAAGGTGGTAGTTAATGGCTTGGGAATCTCGTTTCCCTGTGGATGAGAGTTATAACCAGATTCCTGGGAAAGGACCTCTTCTTTTTCCATGTCATCACTATTTTCCACCTTTCACATCTGTCTCGGCACTCAGTCCAGACCCTAGGAATCCATAAAGAACAGGCTACACAAAATTGTTTCTTTTGCATAGATACTGTATGCATTTGGGTCTCCACTGAGATCACCTATTCTTAGCTGGGCATGATGCCTCATGACTGGGATCCTAGCACTTAGGAGGCTGAAGGAAGAGAGTCACCACAAGTTGGAAACCAGCCATGATGAGTTCTGGCTACCCTAGCCTATATGACAATCAATGCAGAACCATACCGATCCTTTATTAATTACCTGAACGGGGAGGTCTTTGTTGCAAGGTTTGGCAGTTTTTCATCTGCAGGGTGTAGTTTCTCTGCCACTGTGTGAGGTTGATCAATTGTCTGTCCTGTTGAATGAGTCTTTCCTGCTGATTCATTGCAAGAGAGGACACCTGGAAGACTGTGACAATGGTGTACATTCCTCATAAAACACTGACATTTTACAATAAAGTAATCCCCTAACAAGGATCAAAGAAAACTATCAGTGAGGATGGGGGCATGATTTGCCTGGCTTTGGGTTTTTGTTTAAGATTAAAATTATTCAAGGATCAAGTATTACAAATCACACACACACACACACACACACACACACACACACACAGACAGACAGAAGCACACATGCAGTCCACACACATAAAGGAAAGCTCAGTCTTGCCTCATTTTACACATTTGTAAACTATTTTTAAGATGAGTTGCTAGATCAAACGTTTGTGAACATTTAAATATTATTCAGTATTTCTAAGTTACCCTCTATAAATGTATGCCGTTTTTCAGTGTTTCAAAGTTATCTGCATTTCCAGCTGTCTGTTTGACATTAAAATTGTCTTCACAGATGTAAACAGTTGGATGTATTTTCTTGTCTGTGAAATGTGTGATTATAGCCTTTGTAAACACCAAAGCCTCATTGGCTGCTTTTCCTGTACTTTGCTTTGCTTTTTTTGTGCTGTGATAACTAACTTATCAAGCCTGGAATCAAGCTGAGCAGTGCATCTCAAATTCACATGGCGATGACCTTCAGACAAGACACGATGCCAGCTGGTTAATGGTGCAGCTTGTAACTATGGGTCTGAGAATTTGGGGAGCAGAATATGACTAACTTGTCAGCATTGATTAGTGATGACAGCATGATAGATGATTTGCCCTTGGTTTTAATGAGACCCTAATTTAGGAGAGAGGCTTTATGCTGAGGCAGGTTGCCTAGTCTCAGCAAAATTCTGTCTTTATGATCAGCAAAACATAAAAATCTCCAAGAAAGACTCTGGGGCTCCTTGACACCATCGTATCCTGGGCAAAAACCAGTGATTCCTGAGCCAACAGAAAGTCGTGAAATAGTGAAAAGAGAGCCAGGGAAATGTACCTGCTCTCTGGCCCTAGACAACACCCCTTTTCCTTTTTCTGTTTTGTCTTGCAACAGCATCTCATTACCCCATGTTGGCCTCAGATTCATCATGTAGCCAAGGATAACCTTACACTTCTGTTCCTCCCTTTTCTCCTCCTCCCATTTGCTAAGAATACAGGCCTAGGTCATTACTCCTAGCTCTATCCAGGATCCTTCTAATAAGAGGTTTTACTAGCGATATCTTTACTTCTGTGTCATTATGTTGTATTCTTATCATGTAAAAAACTAAATTTCTTTTAAAATTCTCAATAAACTAAAATGTTAAGGCCTGTTGTTTTTGGTACTGTGAGTCTCTGTTAACAACCAGCCCTGTGCCTAGAGATATTTGCTGGCATATCACATGCTTCAAGGGTTGATTTTGGTAAGCTATAGGCTACTATGACCACTTCATAGTTTGACATTTGGCTTGATTTATTTACATAGCTGAATTTTATTTTTTAGTCTTTTTTTTTTTTTTTTTTTGACACACTGCCATTTTTTATTTTAGGTCGCATATTCTAGATAAAAGACCGAATAGGCTGCCTCACATCTCTACGATTGAATGATAGAATCGGCTTCATTTTCATGCCTACATTCATGTAATAAGTCATCTCTGCAATCGAGATAATGAATTTTGTTTTGATATAGTCGAAGCTTCATATGTAGCTAGAAGAAGCCACAGATTCCGTCAGCTCTTAGCCCAATTTCTACCCCATGGTACTATCTTGAAAACTGAAGTTTAGTATCACAACTAGGATATCAACACTGATAGCACCACTGCCCCGTACTTCTGAGAGCTGTATCTCTGTACAGTCCTGCTAGAGCTTCTGAGACCCATCAAACATGTGATGTCGCTGGTTTGTAGTTTCTGCTTTCTGGTGTGTGTAGTGTGTCTCACTGTGGTTTTAGCTTGCTTTTCCTAATGGCTAATAATATTGAACCCTGTTTTTATGCTTGCTTTATATTCTTAAATTCTATGGAGAAATATGTTGTCATGTCATTCTTCCTTTTTATCTCTGAATGGCTTGGTGTCTTTTGGGGTTCTGAAAGTTTTACTGACTCTAGGTACAACTATTTCATTGGGTATCTGGTTCGCAAGTACTTCCCTCTTCTGCCTTATGTGTTCAGCCACTTTTTTTATGCTGAAGTAGGTGCATCTCATCAGCTGTTACTTTTATTAATAACCCATGAGATGTTAGATCTAAGAACTCTGCACTTATTTAGAGAATGGATTTCTCCCCTTCCCTTTTTCCTTTTCTTGATTTGGGCACTACCTAGTGTTAGGAGTAAAAAGCCAACATTCCTTGTTCTATTATATTAATAAACTGGTACATATAGGGATTGAAATATAATAATCTTCTTTTTAGAAAGCTGATATATAATTTTAATATTCTGATGAACTTTACTGGGCAAACTGGATTTCAAGTCATTTCTGCTTTGCCTATTAAGCTCGGGGTGGCATGGGCTGCATCAGATGATAATAAGACAGGAGAAAGGGAAATGAGACTTCTCCTTGGAGTTTCATCCTACATAGGAAGCAAATGCTTGATCTTTATTGGTGTTTGAATTGTAATTATTTTGCAAAAAAGTTAGCAATAAGGACAGAACAATTCCATTTCCTGAGGAAATGAAACAAAATACTTCTAACTCTTCCAAACAAGGTTATATGATGCTACACATTGTACCTAAATGATGAGTTTGAAAAATGAAAATGAACAGAAAAGACACAAGGAAAATTGATCTCTCTGGAAATATTTTTGCTATAACCAGAAATGCAAAAGGGGAAAATTGTAAGTCTATACACCTTGCAAATGACCACTAAAGCAGTCCTGGTTAACATTCAGGCTATATTTGTTGAAGCCCTGTGTACACATATACAGAGTACATATGCATATATGATCTAATTTTCATATTATTTTTAGAAAACTATATGTCTCTATAGTTCATTTACCTTCTGTGTGGTGACATGTTATTTGTGATTTATTAAAGCTTGCCAGACAATTTAGAAAGCAAACTCATGCTGAAGCTATAGAAGTCAAGCAGTGGTGATACACACCTTTAATCCCAGGACTCAGGGTTAAGAGGTAGATTGATCTCTGTTAGTTTAAGGCCACACTGACTATCAAATTGATCTAGTCCTAAAAATTCACACGCCTTTAATCCCAGCACTAGGGAGGTATATAAGACAGGAGCAGGGACTCAGAACTGGCATTCAGTCTGAGAGTTAGTCTCTAGCTATGTTGAATAGAGCCTGGCTGTCTGAGCGAATCTGGGGAGCAGTGAAGTCCAGAATAGTTTGAAGATCGCCCCCTTTGGTCTGAATATCAATAGAGGTAAAAGCTAGTAGTGGCCAGCTGCTTTGCTTTTCTAATCTTCAGCTTGAAGCCCGAACCCAACATCTGTCTCTGAGTCCTTTATTTACCATGTTGCTCTTCTGCTTTAATGAGAAACAACATAACAACATCTCTACATCCTTACTAGTGGTTCCAGACCATTTTTAAAATTAATTTATTACATTCTTTTAGGTGATTAATTTTACCAGATTCTTCTGTCTCACTTTGTGAACTTCCTCTTAATATAAATCAAAGTACCTTTATCAGATTTATGGGCACTTAAATAGTTCTTAATTGATCTTCACCCATTTACACATATGGACTTTTTACATAATAATACAGCTATAAACAATTCATCACCCATTTATGTAAACAGGTCATTTTGAAGATACGCTGTTTTACTTACACTTGATGCCCAAGAAAATGGATGTTGCTAATAATCCCACACAGAGCACACAGGAAATCGCCGTCACAGCGCACCATGTTCCTAAACGTAGGATCAGAACAGTGACAAGACTTAGCCGTCAAAGATGTTGGGATGCATGGAAGGAGTGGCCCTTCCTACCAGAGAAATACGAAGATTTCAAACTCTAACAGGAGGAGAGGAATCTTTGCTTAAATTCTCTCAAATTAAACTTTTAGCTTGGGATGTATCTGACCTGGAAAATACCAAATTCAATAAACTTTATACTATATCTCTGTGACCCTAATATACAATGTCAAAAGTTTAATAAGCGATTACATCTATCTATGTACTTACCTATCTATATACCTATTTTTTTTTCAATAATCTCAATAACGCCACCTAGGCAACCCTAAATTCTTAACATCGAGACTCTCTTATCTGTTTTCAGAATCTCTTGAACGTGATTCACTAAACTATTTAATTTTAATAAGCAATTTAGAAAATGAACAGAAATTTCCAACTAAAAGTGAAAAGTGAGTGATGTGGCTTACTAAGTTATCCACACTAATCAAAGAAAAATAAAATGTATCTTCACATATTGTGATAGGCCAGATAATGCCTTGCCTGTGATGACTGTGGGTCATCCCTGGAACCTTAAAATGGCCCTGTATGTGACAAAAGAGATTCTGAAGGCAGTGGAGATCTGCCATGTGAAAGTCAGCCTCAATTAGTGAATTTGTAACAAGTTGGTACTAAAGACAAAACCATGTAATTACTTGGGAAAATATAATAAAACACTTTTACAGCTCACCCAACTATTGATTGTATGCTATTACTTGTGACATCTAGTTGATGAATCATCAAAGAAATGATTAGAAATGAATAAACGCTTATCTATTTGAAAATATTTTGTGCTGTAAAGTTATAAAAATAAAAATTACTGTAAGATGTAGAAATAGGGATAAAATAATGAAACCATAGTTGCTTCAGCATAATCAAGTTTTTCAACTTTTTCCTTGATTTCTTAGTGTTTGTCAGATAATTTGCTGAGCATTTTATGCAAAAACTAAAATAATTAAAATTGTATAATTTATTTGACCTTTTTACAAATTTGGGAGAGAGAATATATCATATTTCCCGAGCCCAGTGCCCTTTTTCGCCTTTACTTATTCATCCATGCCAGTGACTATGTCAATCATGCTAGAATACTATAAAGAGGTTACCTCGGATTATAAGAAACACCTTGGGTTCATCACGGAACACCAACAGAACAAAAAATATATCTAGTTTTCTATTAAGCATTTTGAATTTATTACCTGAACATTTGCTAGCAGACAGACATTTCTGAGAGTCCTCTGAGGGTGGATTGTCCCACTGAAGAGAGCAGTAAATTTCTTCCTCATGCATGCTGAAGGTTCTTGGAGAGTAAAGCAGCCTACATAGGAGCCTGACAGAAATAACCCTTCTCATGATTAGGAGTACATTGGTACAAAAAAAAAATGGAACTGACTACTCTTTCATAGCTGTAAAAGGCACTGGGGATTAAGGTGCAGGGTAGAGGTATCATCATCCAGAAAGTGGAACTATTAAAGCTAGAATTTAAACATAACGCAATAAAGGAAGAAATGAGAATGAACTCATAATGACTATGGTCAATTTGTACCATTGCTCTGATTCCCATATGGTAGCAGACGCTGAAGATGAGGTATACAGGATGAACTTCTATCTAGTATAGGATATGAAGCACAAAAATGAGTCAGGAAACAAAGATGAACACAGCCCAATCTAGGCAAACCAACTTGCACATAACTTTTGGATTTTCAAACAAGAAAACATGGAAAGGATTTCATCACTTAATTCATTTCTAACCAGTCTATTGGTTAGGATAATATTGACTGCTAAGATAGGTAAACTTCAAAATACCAGTCAGTGCTGTAAATGTTTACATGTTCCTCATAGTTTGTCCCCAGGGATTGGGTTGACAGAGAGTTTTCTCCCAAAAGAGACCTGGGTTATTTATTCATTGGAGTCATGGGAAAGGGAAAGAGAAGGTGACAAACCCACACTTGTGATGGGGGAATGCCCTACGAACACACACTTGTGATGGGGAAATGTCCTTCTGTACATATGTTTCGTTTATTGGTTGATGAATAAAACACTGATTGGCCAGTAGCCAGGCAGGGGGTATGGATGGGGCTTCCAGACAAGGAGAATTCTAGGGAGAGGATGCAGAGAGGAGCCAAGGGAGACACTGTGATGCCAAAGAAGTAACATGTCAGATTACAGGTGGCGATACATGGTTTAATAGAAATAGGTTAATAATTAATTGAAAGCTAGCCTAAGTCATCAGCCAAACAGTTTACAATGAATAAGTCGTTTTTGTGTTTATTTGGGACAAAGTGTCTGTGGGACCAGGCCAGACAGAAACCTCCATCTTCACACTTGTTTCTTGAAAGCCATAACCAAGAAGTAATATGAATCACAGCCTCCCCCATCCATTGCATCTTCTTATTGGTCATGAAGTTTGGGTTTGCCTGGGCATCAGCATCCAGAGGTAATTTTCCTCTTGGAGGAGGGATGAATTATTTAGTGGACAGGTGGCCATTCTCATCACATCCTGTGACTACAGCACTGGTACTGAGAAATTTGATCTCTTAGACATCATTTATCTCTAGGCCACTTGTCCTTATGGCTAAAGGTCACTTCTTGGTAATTTATAGTCCATATTACTTGCAAAATTGCATGTTCTTTGTTATTTTAGAGTCTCAGTTGATCAATAGTTCTTCATCACAAATGGCACAGTCAAGAGGTAACATAAGGGAACTCACTAATAGGGTTACAGTTGGGGGAAAGGGTGATAGGAAAGCCTAAGCAGGGGAGATAAACAGGAATTGCAGACACTGGACCTTTAGGGTCTGCCTCACTAGAGCCAAGGGCTAGGAACATCAGTCCTTACCAACCCCAAGAAGCATAGAGAATCTGAATTATACTTCTGACATTCCTGCATGTCTCAGAGGCTGAGTTTGCCCAGAAAATATACTCGTTTGAATTTAGCTTTCCGAGACACAAGGGGGTAGCTAGCGGGAATCATTAGAGACAAATGAAAAAATGTCCAGCACATTCTGCCAACGTTTCCTGGGCTGTGTCTGGTTTGAAAACAGAATGACTGAAATCCAGATAAACCTTTGCATATGCTAAGTTCTACCAGGATGAGAAAAGAGGAAGAAACCACAACAGCAAATAATATCGCAACTAATCCCGGGAACCAGAGCTCCATCCGCGCCTTGCTCATTTCTAGTTTCTCTTCCCATTTCGCCAGCACTGACACCCAAGCCTGAGTGGATGCAGTGTTTCCCAGGATGACCCACAGCTGCTAAATTTCTACAAGTCCTTGGTTTCTCCGAACAAAGGGTCCATGTGCTGCTTGCACTGCTGCCGCCGTTGTTTGTTTTAGATAATATTTGTGTTTATCATTCATCGAACCCCTAACAAGGATTTTAAAGCCCGATCACAGGAACTAGCTACTTCCTCACGACAGTTCTGTGAAACAGGAGGAAAGAATAGCTGTTACTTAGGACTCAGAGAAGTCAGCCCGTTTAGCGACTTTCATACTGAGTGTTTGAAAGGGAATGATGGAATGCTCTGACTGAAGGATCTGGGCAGTTTTTCATTCCACGATATGCTTTAGGCACGGCTACTAGGAAGAAGAGAAGAGGCTTTGTAGATACAGTGTGATTGGATTCACCTTCTGTGTATGTTTAGCAGGACATTATAAATATGTTGCCTCTGTTAGCATCTGAACACACCTGGCCGGCCCCTGGAGACCTGGCAGAGGTCACCTCGTGTGGCCATGCTCAGTATACAGGCTGTAGCCTGGCCTACTGTATGGTCTCTGTGCACATGTGCTATGCCCCTCCCTTTAAAAAGGCAGAACCCTGCCTGCCCTCCCTCTTCTTCTTCCTCTCCCTCACCCCAGTCCGTGCCCCCCCTCTCTCCCTCTAACTCTCTGCCTATCTTCTCTCTCTCTCTCTCTCTCTCTCTCTCTCTCTCTCTCTCTCCTTTTCCTATGAGGAGACTCTGCACTCTCCTTCTCTCCCCTCCCCCACAACACTTTCCAATAAACTCTTCATGTGAGAGCTGTCTGCATGGCTCATCTGTCTCTCACTCATAGTGGGGCCTCTTGGCTCCCATCCACCATGGTCCCTCATGGGTCATATCATAACACCCTCTAAACCTGTATATGTTGTAGTAATACACAAATATGTCTTTTCCCTCCCTTGTTCATCTATTCCCTCCTCTCTCTTTTCTGCTGAATTCCCGGAGCTTGGCCTGGTGCTTGGTTGTGAATCTCTGTGTCTGGTTTCATCAATTACTGGATGAGGGCTCTATGATGACAGTTAGACTATCTGATTAAAGGGGTAGGCCAGTTCGGGCATCCTCTCCACTATTGCTAAGAGTCTTAGCTGGAGACATCCTTGTGGAATCTTGGAAATTTTCCAAGATCATGATGGAGAAATCTACAGAGACAGCTGAACCAAGTTCATGGAAACTCATGAACTCTGGATCTATAGCTACGGAGCCTCCATGGGACCAAACTAGGCCCGCTGTATGTGGGAGACAGTTGTGAAGCTTGGGTTATCTAAGGGGCCCCTGGCAGCAGGACCAGGATCTATTCCTGATGCATGAGCTAGCTTGTTGGAACCTGTTCCCTATAAGGGAACAGGAGGGAAGGGGTTGGTTCTGTCCCAACATAATTTGTGGACTTCCCATGTGAACCCTTACCTGCTGGGAGGAGTAGATGGGGGTTAGTTTGGTGGGGGCATTGTGGGAGGGGAGGGGAGAGGAGGGAGGGAGAGTAAATGAAATTAGAAATAAATAAATATGTCCTTTCACATGCTGAAGAGATGAAAAACGCTAAAGTCCAGGCATAGGGTTGATGTTTGTATAGTTTCTGAATTATTAGTTCCCACTCGATTTCTGCAACTAGAAAGTTACATACAAGAAGTTCATCCCTGAATTCCCAGCTCCAGAGAAAAAGAGAAAAGGCCAAGGCTTTCTATCTTGCAAGACCAAGACATTTGCAATCAAGAGCCTGAAGTTCTGTTGTGTTGTGTAGCTCAGAACTGTATTCCCTTACAAACAGTCTAAAATAAACCAAAGTGCACATTTGCATGTTAGTGCACAGAGTTGTGAAGAGTTGTGAAACACTTTTTTTTTTTGAGCATCACACGCTTGATGCTCTGACCAATAAGTCATATAATTATATCAAAGATCATCACAGTTCTCTTCTAGATGAGGGGACCAGCTCACTACATAGGCCAGGAAACAGTGTTAAAGAGACTAAACCATTTGCCCCAAACCTCATAGGGAGTAAGTGCTAAAGTACTATTTATCGAAAGGTACTAGGAGCTGACTGCTTACAACAGGGTCACAGGCAATGTGTGTAAAAGAACAGATTTCATTGTCTACTCAGCCTTCTGAGTTCTGTCTACCTTCACGTCTGGCATGTTCCATTTCCACAAAGTCCTCATCTAAGACGAACAGTATTCATGATCCTATTTTCTCACCAGTTCAACAAAGGAAGCTGTGGGGGGAGAAAGTCCAACTTTTGCCTCTTATCCTGGTAGAGGTGCTTCCTCACAGGTCCTATAAATACTTCTCAGTTATTCAGCAAACACCAAACATAGAGCATCAGGAAAAGGACAGATAAAACACTTCTGCTGCTTCTTCTGCCTTCTGGACACTGCTTTGTCACAAGCCACTTACTGGTTTTACAGACCCTGTGGGGTCTCTCCCAACTCCAGTTTCCCCGTGTTGTACAGAGAATGACCACTGTTGAGTAAGGAAGGCAACCGTTGTCTCCCAGGATGAAAATCACATTTCTTTTTCCCTTGAGGCAGGGACATGCTTCGTGCTGGTCACAGACAATGAATAATAAAGTCATGGGGATCATTATCACGGAGTTTTTGGTATCAGTAGCCTGAAATTTTCTAGTAAGCATATAAATGGTATAGATAATTGAAACTGTGTGCTCACTGTACAGATAAGATAAAAGTCTGAAGTTTATTTTTTGATGAGGTATATGAGATAGGTAATATTATCCCATTTTACTTTATTTTAGTGCACACACACACACACACACACACATTTTGGTTTATCCTATTTTGAGTATGAGAAAATTGCCATTAAACAAAATACAAAATTGCTTTATTAGCTGGGAGCATGCCTTTAATCTCACCATTTGGAAGGCATCGGAAGGCACCAGGTCTACAAAGTGAGTTCTAGGACAGATAAGGCTACGTGGTGAGATCCAGCTTCAAAGACAGATAGATTATGGCATGACCCCATAAAGTCTTATGCTTAGGTATTCATGAACAGAAAACCAATGTGTCAGTACCTAAAATGGGATGGAAGAGATTTTAAATTTAGAGATGAGAACAAACAAGATTTCACATGGGAAGACATGGGCTTCATTGATGAAATTAGCAAAGTTCCAAATTGCTTGGAATGTAGATTAAACAAGTCAGAGAGGGAGGGAGAAAGAAAGAAGGAAGGAAGAAGGAAGAAGGAAGAAGGAAGGAAGGAAGGAAGGAAGGAAGGAAGGAAGGAAGGAACAAGGTTTGCTTCATGGTTGCTCTTCTGTCAAGGGGTCATACCATTTGAACTATTTTACAGACTTCATCTGTTTATTTCTACTATCCCTATGCCTTGATCTAATTTTAATTTTATGTGTGTCCATTTGAAGATGCAGTGGATGACATACAGCATGCTAAGAAAATCAGGAATAGGAAATAAAAAGAAAGTTAGTGGAAAGTGAAGTACTGAACAGCTAGTGATTGCTCACACGCTGCTTTTTGATATACAGAGAAAGGATCAGATATGTGGCATAGGCATGATATAAAAAAAAAAAAACAAACACTTTTGTGACTGGGAAATTCTTTTGTCCAGATCTTTTATTGCATGACCAAGCACTTATCTGGCATCCTGTCCATCCTTCTGTATTAAAGCAGTTGGTCCACCCTTGTCAGGCCGGCCCTCCTCTCACACATTAAATAATGCCTGTCATCACAGGAAGCTGGATGGATTTTCCCATTATAAAGATAAGCACAATTCATGTTTTCTCTTGGATTCCCAGAAAGATCAATCCTGCAAATGGAAAAGGCAGAGGGCACAGGTTTTTTTTTTTTTTTTACGACAAGTACATAAGGAAGCAAGGGACATGTATGTTTTGCTGATCAAACTAGAGACTTGAGGTGGGGGGGGAGAAACAGCATTCTTATCTTTGAGAAACTCTTTGTCCGCTGTATACAAGCAAAGTCCAATAATGATATAATATGTTTAAGTCAGATGAAAGTACAAGGAAGGTCCAGAGGAGAAGGCAAATCATGCTCTGACACACCATAGGTTTATGTGAAATTCACTTCGGGTCAGAACTGAAAGAAGAGTAAGTTTTACATAGGCAGACAGGCAATATTGTGAGTAAGGCAGTAAGCAATGAGAGATAAAGGCCACGGTTTGCATGAGGTTTGTATGTATTTGTGTGTCCTGAGATTCTATACAAGGTAAATAATAAATACATGCCAGCTTAGTTATTTATTTAAATAATGATAGGAAAGTATAAGCTTTGATCAAAAATTCTGGACGGAGAGAGTGCAATGTTGTCCAGAATAGACAAAAGATGTTGAAACTAGTGGTTAGAGAGCCATATTGAGAGCTAGCAAGATGGCTCAGTGGGGAAAGGTAATTGCTCCCAAGGTTGCTGACCTATATTTGATTTCCAGGACCTACATGGTGAAAGGAGAAAACTAACTCCTCCAAGTTGTCCTGTGACCTACATTCCCATACAATGTGGCATGGGAATTCTCTCTCTCATACACACACACACACACACACACACACACATATACTAAATTTTAAAAATTAAGGGGCGACAGAGCCATATTGAATAACACAACTCAATGGAATGAGGTCATTTGCCTGCCCCCGAGAAGGGTGGAGACCCATCGTGTGGCATTAGAAGTGCCTTGTGATCTGCAATCTGCCTGGTTTGTGGAGACCCACAGGACAAAAAGATAATGGAAATAATCTTGATGGTAATCACTCCAACCATAAAATAATGAAAAATATACATTTATTCTCAAAGCACAAAGGAATTAGGTCAATTTACATACACACACACACACACACACACACACACGAGAGAGAGAGAGAGAGAGAGAGAGAGAGAGAGAGAGAGAGAGAGAGAGAGAGAGAGAGGGAGAGATTAGTGATGTGTGACTGAGAGCTATGACCCACCGTGAGGCAGAGAGCCATCTCAACCTTCAGGCAGCCTGTGTTCAACAAGAAATATGAGACTCAAAGCTTTGGGTAAAGCCTTTTATCTGAGCTACCAGAGACTTACACGTTCTTGGGAAGAATTGAGCTATCTTCCCACATCCAATCCTTATTAGAGTCCTGACGTGATAATCCAATCCAACGGATGGAAGTAATCCTGCTCGTGAGGTATTCCTATTGCAAACAGATCCATTCAATGGTGAACGTCTCCACAGCACTGTGCAATGACAGTGACGCAACTTCCCAACAAAGCCTTGAGCCAACATCTGAAATTACGCATCTGTGTTGATACTGATGGGTTACAGTTCATGTCTAGGATTTGGCTGGTTTGTTTTAAGACATTAAAAAGATAAATTGGATTAAATAGGTAATTTTCTAGTCTTCCTAGGCTATTATACTGTATCCTTATGCTTCCTAGCAATTGGAGATTTGAGACTCAGGAAAACCTCTAAACATGATTCAGCTACTAGAGATGACAAGAAACAGTTATCTGTTTTACAGTATCTGAGACTAAGCTCTTGGACTTTGTTGATTGTCTTATACATGGAAACATTAATTTGTTTTAGTAGCATGGATAAAGAGAACTATAAATGTCTTTCTCAAAGAAATTAGTAAACAACATGCATCTACCTTTTGAAATATACATTTTTCTATGCTTTCATTCTCCTTTTAGATAAATTCTTACTGTGTAGCCCCAGCTGGCCCCAAATGTGTGATCCAAGCCTGAGCTATGACTGTATAAGCATGTACCACCATATCTGGCTCTGGTTTACTTTTTCCTGCATGGTTATAATTTACTTTTTGCTAGTTTGTTTGGTTTCTCAAGACAGGGTTTCTCTGTGTATCCCTGGCTTTCCTGGAACTCACTCTGTAGACCAGACCTCAAACTCAAGAGATTCACCTGCTTCTGAATCTCCAGTGCCGGAATTAAAGGCTGCCCAGCTATTTTGTTTAAGTTCATGGCTTTTGGTTTTAATTGAGTACATAGATGCAGGTCCCAGAGTGGTTCCAGTACATATGGGTTGACTATGTGATGAATGGAAAGAAAAGCAAAAGTAAGCCAAATATTCATTATACCTTCATGCATCCCAGGAGAGCAGACAAGAATCTACTCTTGGAAAGAAAAAAAAACCCAAAAGCAAAACAAAACAAAAAAAAATGGTTTGAGCTTGTAGACAGAAGTTTAACATTCAGAATAACACTGCACAGGAGACACTTGGGCTTCTCTCTTCCCTAAAGTGTGAGCCACCCACCACCTTTCCATTAACTCATCAATCACTTTTCTCTAGAACATGTCCATATAGATGCATATTGCCCAAGATGCCTCATTTTTGAAGTTGATGGAAAAATCAAATTGATATTTAACATTTTTTTTCACAAACAGTGATATTACTTCTTTGTTATGTTACAGATTTTCAAGTAATGTCAGCCTGGAGTGATAAGAGTCATGGCATGTTTCACATCTCCATTTAACCTCTTTATACTGGAGTTGACATGCTAGGCACTCCCCTGTTTTGATTGAGTGAATTTATGTGTTAATTTTAAACTTCTCTATGAACCTGAGATTACAGTTGAGGGGCAGAAGCTCACACAAACTGGAGTAAATATAATGGGAGCATCCCATGCTGACTCATCCTGTCCGACCCAACCACCCACTCTTGCTGTGATAGAGTCTTACTGAAACACTGTTGAGGTATTTTGGACTATAGCTACATTAAATATTTAAGCTCTATATTTGTTATCAAGCTTCCTAAATTTCTCAGAGGAGCACCACTTGCAAGCCATTAAGAAACACATTTTAAAAAAGAAAGAAAGAAAAAAAAAAAAAAAAACAGATTCCATGTTTCCTTTGAGAGCGTTTTCCTTCAGTTCCCAAATGTTTGTCATGGGACCCTCCTTACCACAGTCTTCTGGCTGGCAGCCTTCACAAGTGTTGCATTCTGCTCAGCACAATAGTGCTTGCTCTCTTCCCATGTTCGGTTTTGTCTGAAGAACCCATAGCAACTGTCTCCATGGTATCTCCACTTTGAGGCACAGGGGCTGCACTTGTGCTCTGAAAGGGAGACCAAGTTTGGGGCTGTCAAAGTCTGGCCAAAGCTTTCCCCCGGTGCAGCGTTCCTGCTCTGGTGGGTCTCCCTCCTGTTACCATGGCAGACACACAGGGTATGGAGAGATGAATTTCCAAGTCAGACTTACCAACTGTGCTCTTTGTCTTGAGCTCTGATTGTTTAATCAACTCTTGGCAGAATTTCTTGGCCAATTGTTGCAGAGTGGCGGAGAGACTTTCCTTCTCGGTTAGTAGGTACTTTTGCTGTGTAACGGCTAAATGTAGAGAGGAGACAAATTACTCCTGGGTCTCAAGGCCAGAAAGATGACGGCAGGGTTCTTCAGTGGCCTTTCATTTCTATAAACCTGCCAGTAGCTGAAGGGTTCACTAGGCACACAAAAATCAATGGATAGTGAGAAATGAAATATAAAGAATCAAGTGAGAGCTGCATAAAAGAGCGCGTGAATCGACTGATGACGAAAAAGTTCTGAAGTGAAAACATGTGTGGAAGGCACCCGATCTGATATTCTCTACAGTGGGTTTCACAGAGACCAGAGAAGCCTATCATTCTTATTCTGTTCTACATATAACACTGAATCAGCCCACCTAAGAATGCATGGTGGGATGGCAGTTCTAACTGTATAGACGTTCATTGAGATGCATAGTTTTTTCAGTCTGCTTAATTTGGCTACGTGGATTCTTAAGTTCTTTATGAAAATGTTTTAAATTTTAAATGGTAATTAATTAAAACATGAAAAAAATACATATTGTCATTATGGTGTTTAAAATGTTTTACATAAAATATGATGAATAAAGGCTTCTAAAATACATTAAAAACAAGAAAATAAATGAACTAGCAACACAAATTACAGCATGACCTCATAAAGTCCTATGATTAGATATTCATGAACAGAAAACCAATGTGTCAGTAAATAAAATGGGATGGAAGAGAATTTAAATTTGGAGATGAGAACAAACAAGATTTCACACAGCAAGACACGGGCTTTATTGAAAATTCCAAATTGCTTGGGCCTTAGATTAAACAAGGAGAGGGGGAGACAGAAAGACAGTTTGGGTCCATACTGAGCTCCTTAAATGGCAGCAATACATCCTGAAAGTTATTTAACTAAGAAAAAACTTCAAAGTGATTCAAATCGGAGGGGCGAGCTCTCCATTCTGGCTTTTCCTTCGCTGAGGTTATATCCACATCCGCATGCAGGACAAATTGTAGCAGGTGACAAACAGATGAGACAATTAGTTAGCTTAGTAGACTATTCCAGGAACTCCGGGGTATTGCTTTCCTCAGATCAAAGCCCTGGCAAGGAGCCAATACTTACACATGATGCCCAGAGCCACGAGCCCAACAACCAGCCCCATAGATGAGATCAGCAGAATTAAAGTCATCACCCGCCACCAGGAAGAAGCAGAGTCAGCTGTGGGAGTAATGAAGATACACAATAAAAGACCATTAAGCCGTCCTGGGATTCTCAGGGTTTTCCAAGCATCATAACTAGTGTAAGCTGTGTCTGGGAGAGAAAATGTACAGCCCCATACTTGGGTCATGGAGGCAGAAGGATCAGGAGTTCAAAGCCAGCCTTGGCTACAAAGCAAATTTAGTGCCATTCTAAAGCTAAATGAGACCCTGTCTCAAAACCCAGCTAAACTTGGGCTAGTGAGATGGCTTAGCAGGTAAAGTCTCACCACATAAGCCTGATAATCTGGGTCTAACTTCTAAAATACAGGCTAGAAGGAAAGAACCTACTTCTGAAAGCTGTCCTCTGATTTCCCCAGGGTACCATGACACATGTACAACCACACACCCATACAAACACACAAGCGAGGTGCTCTCCTGTGCACACACACATATTCACAATGCATACAGAATGTGAGCATACACACACACACACACACACACACACACACACACAATCAAAGCAACAACAACAACAAACAGTATTGGTGGCTATTTATCTTCATCCCCTTGGTGACCATTCGAAATGAGAGTGGCCTGCTTTACACCATTCACCCATCTCTGTCATCTCTGCTCCCCACAGATTGTTCTCGATACTCTCTGTACATTCTGAAATACAACTGCCAAGGCCACATGTATTTCTCTCTCTCTCTCTCTCTCTCTCTCTCTCTCTCTCTCTCTCTCTCTCTCTGCATCCTCATTCTCATAAACAATGACTTTCATAGAAGACAAGTGGAGAACTCTGTGTCTTCTGGTATTCAGAAATTTGAGGTTGTTTTGAAAAAGGTTAAAAACATTTTATGTTTTACATAAATGTTTACTTACAGAATGTTTACACATTAAAGAACACTATGACCCAATGATTTGTTTGTTTGTTTGTTTGTTTTTCAAGATAGGGTTTCTCTGTACAACAGTCCTGGCTATCCTGGAACTTGATTTGTAGACCAGGCTGGCCTTGAACTCACAGAGATCTGCCCGCCTCTGCCTCCCGAAGTGCTGGGATTAAAGGCATGTGCCACCACCAACTGGCATGACCCAAAGATTTCATATGGTTTTTAAACAGAAGGAAAATAAAAAGAATTCAGATTACAAATCCCTTCCCTCCAGAATTTAAAAAAAAAAAAAGTCTCTTTTTTTTTCTAAGTAAGTCATTCAACAAATGTTCAGTGACTACTCATGCCCAATTTCCATCATATGGACGACCAATGAAATTTAAAATGTGAAGACATTTGCCAGACATCCGAGTTTTCAAACTGTCCTTCCCTTTGTCCCACTAACTTCTTAGCCCCAGCATTACATTCTAACAGTCTTAGTGCAAACTCCTCTCCTCCATCCTTGCTGCCTGTGGGAGCCTCCGTAGGCCCCACTCACATGCTTCAGAGAAAGAGCATCATTCAGGAAAACACAAATAAAATTAAGCCCCATCACTGGGCGGGAGGGAGAGAGGAGGAGTTGACCTCCTAAAGTCCCAACTGCTGAATGACCCTTCTTACCTGAGCTGAGAGTTGGTTTTCGGGGCTTAATGTTCAAAGTGATGTATCCGTCTTCATCCTGCATGGCTCCCCTTGAACTGCAAGTGAGCTCAGAGTTCAGTGAGCTTGCAGAACTCACCCAGTGTCCACTCTTACCATTTCAGTGCCTGCCAGAGTGGGTCCTCCTCTCCTGGCCGTGTGGAGCCATATGCCATCGGGACACTTGGGTTTTGTTTTGTTTTGTCTTTGTTTTCCAGGAAGCCCTTTCATGGATGTTCAGAGATACGTGGACTTGAACCTAAAAACAAAAATAATAATAACTTGTGGTGAAAGAGTAGATGCAGGCCTCATTTCCTGCTTTCTTATCTTCAACGCTGAGTGAAGGGATGTTCCATTGTGAGTATCCTGTCAAAAAACAAAAGTTCACGCTTCATCTTAACCCTAGGGAAGCTGAAAACATATCACTTAAGTGAGCTTAATCCTCATAAAAACTCATGGGTAAAAATTCAGTAAATACATACCAAGTCACACTGTGAGAGCAAATACAGTATCAATTTATTAGATCTGATGCTAAATTAGATGCTTATAATTTTCCATTAAAAGGGACTACTTCTCACAATGAATGACCTAGAATTCTCTCAAATTCAAGCATCTAATGCAAGTTGGTTTATTTAAAAAAAAAAAAAAAAAAAAAGTGAGGTGAACCTGAGATTGCTTAGTCCTATCCTAGACACTGAAGGAAAAAAAAAATCAAATAATTACTCATGATGTAATATTTCACTTCAAAATGAACTTCTTGAATTTAAAAATATCTAAATTTCAATGACATTCTTTAATTTTGAGTGTGGTTTTTCCCCAGCAAATGAACCACATGCAGGAGTGGGCTGCGTTCTCTAAAGCCTTTTAATCAGAATGCAATTCGTCATTCTGCTCTGAAGAAATAGGCTTTAAATAGTTGCACTGGCTTACGCTGACAGCAGCTCCAGGCACACCATACAGAACTAACTAGGTGGTTATTGTAGGAATATCGGTGTGAACGTTACCAGTTTTAACATTAGGGCAGAACTTACATAATTTTAGAGCAGGTAATTATGCTAATTATCCGTGGTCAGTAAAGCATTCTGCCTTCATTTGTCTTAGAAGTGATTGCGTCACTGCCTTCTGCTTTTAAGAGAATTCAGTCTTCATATTTCGGCATGGGAACCATACAGGACCTGCTGGAAGGTGTTTGCCTGCCCATGTTCCCATTTATGTCTTTTACGCTTTTTAAATTTCTTTTCCTCCTTGCTGTCTACGTCACTCTGAATTTTTTGTCAATTTACTGAAAGGATGTTGCATTTTGAAATACCTTACCCTACACTCCTCAAATGATTCCACAAAGGCAGCAAATGATTCAGTTATGGCTGCTGCTGTTTGCATAGCTTTTACCTTAGCTGAAGGGTCTTTCTCTTCCTGGAAGACAGTGATAGACAACTCAATCTTCCAGCAAAATACGGGATCAGTTAGAGCTCTTCCTTCCTTTATCCATATATGTTACAAACTTAGTTCAAGGGTGTTTTCTTCCTTTACTGCCTTACTTCAATGTTTTTACCTAATATATACAGAAACAATGCAATGTAATAGAATGAATAATTTCAGCTTAATGAAGAAAAAAAGCATATACAGAGCTGTAATTGTAAAGAAACCCTATCAAGTAAAGTTTCACTCCATTTTTCTTAGAAATAAAATTAATACATTTGAAAAATGTAATCAGGTAAATTAAACTGAATGTGGAACTGTGAGCTAGCTCCAAGGGAATAGGGAATGATGGTATATGGTTTTTGTATTAAATAATGTAAACTTTAAGTAATTAAAAATAATAATTAACTTGCTTTGTTTAAGTTTCCAGATATTCTGAGTCTTAGGCAGCTGGATTAGTTATGAAAGAGTCCTATTTATTCCTATAATTCAATAGGGGTCCAGGCTTACTTTACATTACAGGTCCATTGCTACATTGAACTGTACATTTAGCATCAGAAGAAGACACAGCTGGAGTGGGCCTCAGACCATAGGGACACTCCTTTCTGTAGCCAGGATTAAAGGATTCTATTGATTCTTTTCCCTTTCACATTTTAATTTGTCACTGCTGTTTGGTTCCTTAGTTACTCCAGCCACAACCTTCTTCTCTGTAGATCCAAAGTACACTAAATATACGCCTGTCTTTATGTGCATCCTAGCCTCCATCCTCCAAGCATAGCATTTGATGTTATGAGCATAAAACACAAATAGGAGAACTGTAGGGTCAAAAAAAGAATCCAAAGGCATTTCAATTTAATTTTACTTTTACATATAATATGAATGTAAGGTGTCTTTCGAGTTTCGGTGTTGTCCAGATGTACCCCATGTTTTTATGGGAGAAGGATGGGTAATAGGATCTCAGAATCTGTGTGACAAGGTGTGGATGTGATCAGAAAGGGAATGGCGTAACCTTGTACCTAAGACTAATCAAGATACAGCAGCAGCATGGTGGGGTTGTGGAGAAAGACAGACAGTAAGTCAGGAGGCACTGACCACTGTGGACATTCCTACACAGCCTGCGAATGAGAATAGAAAGGGTACTTTGCAGCTGAAGATCAGGTATTTTAACTGCCAAGTGTAAGGCCTTTTACCAATGCATTCCTATCGACCCCTGCCCCCAGCTCCGCTTCCTGCCCTCCCCCTTAGCCTGCCGCATTAAAATTGCTGGCTCACCTTTAGCTTCTTAACTTTGTGCACACAAACGAAATGTTGCTTATCTTTGGAAAACGACAGGATTTCCTGTTGTGGGAAACAAAGCATAATTAACATTTATTCCTTGGTTTTTCGGGAATCTGAAATATGTGGATTTAAATGAGTTTTATTAAAATGTTGCTGAGTTTACGGTAGTTATAGGTCAACTGAAGCAGAACGCTTGGTTGCCTAACAGAGAAAAAATTGAAAAGGAATACACAGTGGCTGCGGCAGCTGTCGCATGCGTAAAAATCCCATCTAAGTAAAATGTTAAGTGACGTCAGATGGTAGATAAAAATCCCAAGGAAAGGCAAAAAAATCACCAAGAATAGATTCTGAGATCCTATTACCCATCCTTCTCCCATAAAAACATGGGATGCATCTGGACAACAGAGAAACTCATCATTGTGACTGGGCCTGTCACTGTACTGTTTTCTGGGCTCAAATAGTCAATAAAACACACTGGTTGCGTGTGGACACATTAATAAACAAGTGGTGAACACATTAATAAACAAGCAGAGGGCAAGATAACGTCTCATCATCACCCTGTGAAGGCAGCTGGGTGGTAGGATGGCTCCCTAGGTAAAGTGCCTGCTGTCCAAGCTGGAGGACCTGAGCATGATCTCCAGAACCTGCTTTAAAAACCAAGAGCTATGGTGCTATTGCTCTTTTGTTCCACAGAGAGAGAGAGACAGAGACAGAGACACAGAGAGACAGAGAGAGAGATGAGAGAGGAGAGGGGAAGAAGAGAGACAGGAGAGAGAGAGAGAGGGAAAGGCAGCAGAGAGAGAGAGAGAGAGAGAGAGAGAGAGGGAAAGGCAGCAGAGAGAGAGAGAGAGAGAGAGAGAGAAGAGCTGGAAAGAGAGCAAAAAGAGCAAAGAGCAAAAGAAAGCAAAAGAGAAAGCAAAAAAAGAGCATGTGGGCGGGGTCTGACTTTTAAAGGGATCCTTCACACCTGCCTGCAGACTAGCACTCATGGAACCCTGGGCTGACCAGAGTGCATTCTGCCAGGTGACAGGGGCAGGCAGGTGGAATGCCTGAATCCTTACAGGTGAGCCTCAGGATAACTGGCTACCGAGACCAGGCATGAGACAAGCATATCCCTAGAGCTTATTGGCCAGCTAGTCTGACCAATCAGTGACCTACAGAGCTATTAGAGTTCTTTCCTCAAAAAATTGGCTGGGTAACTATTGAGGTGACCCTGTGGCTTTCCCCTGTAGGCATACGTATGTACAATTCCATGCACACGAACACACCCATATACCATGTACAGAACTGCACACACAGTGCTCAGAAGGAAAATAAGGCACTATAATAGACGGTAACTCGTTGAACTCCTTGCGGGGACCGGGGGCGGGTGGGGGATTAATCAGTTTTCACTTCAGCAGCTAGCTGTATAGGCTTCTTCCTCTTTGAGATTATCCACATTAAACCATCTTAGCTCAGGGGAAACAGTGATGACTGTTTCTATGTTGTTGTTGTTGTTTGTTTTTTAATCAATTATCATTGCTGTATTATACAAATTTTACTAGTAGGAAAATGAGACTGGCTGGGTAGTGAATGCCTGTGATGTCATTACTATAGAGTGAGGCGGCAGATATTAAGTTTGAGGGCTGTCTGGGCAACACAGTGAGCTCTTGTTCAAAACAAAAACCAAAATGCACAGAGCTGAGAGGTCAATTTGATACAAAAGGTCACAGGGTATGCAAGTTTGAGCCACATTCAAACAATGGGTATTCCTTGATAATTCTTTATTTAAATCAAGATAGCTTACAACCAGGTTTCTATAGGAATTCCATCCTCTGTTCATCCTATGTCTCCTCCTTGTGGCCGTTTTTATTTCTTTCTGGGTCTTTGGTACCTCTGTCTTTGACCTCTAGTTCCCCTTATCTAATTCTAAATTATAGTGGACGCTGTCTGGGTACGAGCTACTATTGTCAGTTTCCAACAGTGGTCTCTGATGTAGACTCAGTATGTGGGAGTTTCACTTCCTAGAACATATGCTGATGATTTATTTTAATGCAAATCAACTTCTATATCCCCAACTGAGTTCTATTAATCATGTATGTTATGCAGTCATTGAATGTATATAAGAGAAGCAAGGGAAACCAATGATTCCAAGTTGTTTGGGGGTTTGTAGCAGAATTGTGATGTGTGTTTATGTATGTGCACGTGTGCAGGTGCCTGTGGAGTCTATATGAGGGTGTCAGATCTCCTGGAAGGATTTTGGGAACTAACTCAGGTTCTCTGAAAGAGCAGTAAGTGTCCTTACCCATTGGGCCATCTTTCCAGACCTGTGGTATAATTTTTTTAATTAAATTTGTTCTTTGAAAATTTAATACATGTATATAATACATTCTAATCTTCCAAACTCCTACATTCTATTATCTCCCTCTCACCCCTGTCAATCTTCAAATCTCTTCACAGATCTCCTTCCCACATTCATAGCTCTTTGTTTCCATTTGTAACCAGGGCCACATGACCACGGGCATTTTGGCTGAGGACTTATAAGTATAGAGTTCCTGTTTATTGAGATGAAGAAACACATTTGTTCCTTGATACATTAAGTTTGAAGTCTTATATCTAAGCAACTTGGAGATAGACATCAGGACATGATCAATGACTGAATGTTCCATCCCTTGTTTTTGGCCTGGAGTAGTTCATCTAAGGGTGAACGTACCAGACAAAGAGGGCCAAGAGCTGAAGGATGGCACATAACACTTCAAAACCCATCAAGGATGTGTCTTAGCTTCGCTTTCTATTGCAGTGGTAAAATACTCTGAGAAAAAGCAACTTAGATGATAAAAAGTTTCTTTTGAGTCACAATTCCAGGGAGATAGAATCCACTATGGTGGGGGAGGCATAGGAACAGGCAGGGACAAGAGGAGCAGGAATCGGGCTGGTCACATTTTATCTGCACACAGGTGCAGAGAGTGAACAGGAAGTGGGGCCTGACTTTACAATGCAAAGCCCTCCACCAATGGGATGGTTCCCCCAGCAAGGCTCTACCTCTTCAAGATTCCATAGCCTTTCCAAACATTGCAGACAGCTGGGAACTAAGTGCACAGATAAATGAAACTATGGGGGACATTTCCCTTTCAGATCACAATAGAAAGAACTATTAAATCCAACAGCAGGCAGCTGGGAATGGGTGAGATAAATAGGAAATCAAGAGAGTGGTGTCTGGGCAGTAAAATGTTTGGAGAAGATAGTACTTTATAAATAAAAGGAGGACCTCAAGAGAGACATGCATGGTCCCAGAGAAGGGAAAAGGGACAAGATCTCCCAAGCAAACTGGCAGCATGGAGGGAGGTCAGAGGGAGTTAGGAGAAAGAGGAGGGGAGAGGAGGACATGAGGGAGCAGGAAGATTGAGTTTGGGGGAAGAATAGAGGAGAGCAAGAAAAGAGATACCATAATAGAGGGAGCCATTATATGTTTAAAGAGAAATCTGACACTAGGGAAATGTCCAGAGACCTACAAGGATGACCCCAACTAACAATCTAAGCAATAGTGGAGAGGCTACCTTAAATGCCCTTCCCTGATAATGAGATTGATGACTACCCTATACACCATCCTAGAGCCTTCATCCAGTAGCTGGTAGTAGCAGAAGCAGACACCCACAGCTAAACAGTGAGCCGAACTCCTGAAATCCAGTTGCAGAGAGAGAGGAGTGATGAGCAACGAGGTCAAGACCAGGCTGGAGAAACCCACAGAAACAGCTGACCTGAAAAAGGGGGAGCTCATAGACTCCAGTCTGATAGCTGAGAAACCAGCATAGGACCCACCCAGACCCCCTGAACATGGATGTTAGTTGGGAGGACTGGGCAGTCTATGGGGCCTCTGGTAGTGGATCAGTATTTATCCCTAGTATATGAATGGACTTTGGGAGCCATTCCACATAGAGGGATACTCTCTCAGCCTAGACACACATGGGAGGGCCTATGACCTGCTCCAAATAATAGGACAGACTTCGAAGATCTCCCATGGAAGGCCTCACCCTCCCTGGGGAGCAGAAAGGGATGGGATAGAGGGTTGGTAGGGGCAGGGGAGGAGGGGAGGGAGATGGAACTGAGATTGACATGTAAAACAAGCTTGTTTCTAATTTAAAGTTTTAAAAAAAGAGGAAAAAAGAAAATATCTATACCAAATGCTACCTATATCAGTCAGAGTTGTTCCAGGAAATACTCACTGGATGTATTTTATGGAGGTTAAGGATAACATTGATTTCAGAGTAATAATAAATTCAGGAACCTTGAGAAGACAAAGAAGGCAGAGAAGGTTTTTTGACCTCTTTTGTGGTTAAGAACACTAAAAAAAAAAAATGATGTGATAGTATTGGGAAGGCGTGGATAGGATTTGTTGCTGTTTTAGAGATGGAAGATATGTCTTGCATATAGGATAAGGTGAATGATCCAGTACACATGAATTTTAGAAAATTTGGAAATATTACAATGCCTGAGATAGAAAATCACACATTCAAAATATTTGACCCTATAGCCATTGAATTGCTAGCAGAGTGGGCTGGAGAGACAGTAGCTGGGTATCAGACATCATTGGCCCACAGGGTTCTCAAGTATAACCTTCTAGTTGGCAGCTGATTTGTGCTTATGGAGTAAGTTATTGGAGGTAAGACCCTGGGTATTGAACTATCAACATTGAAATCACTGAGTGGCATCAGAGGAGTAGAGGTCGAGTGGAGAATTCAGGAGCTGACTAGGTAATAAGGAGGGCAGTGAAACAGCTACTCCCTTGAGATGCTCAAGGCCCTGGGATACACCTTAAAATAAACGATTAAGTTATTTAACTAACAAAGCAGTGAGGGAGGTTACCTAGACCTTGGTAAATGATTGCGCAAGGTGTTTTGAAAATGTAGCTTCTAAAATGATCAACAGAGATGCTGGGAATTTGTGAGATAGAAAGCTAGGCAATTTATGAATTAATAAAATGACAAGCTAAGAGTAAAATATATGGACTTAAGTGGTCACGAAAATAGAAAGTACGCAGGAGACAGGATCCATTATCTTTCTGGAAAGTATTGGTAGGAATGGGGAGAGTCCTCATCACTTTACTCAGAGTTAATTTCATCTAAGATAATGTCAGTGACCTTCTCTCTCCGATAACTTTAAGGTATGTAAAGGAGTCAAGGAATGAGAACAGACACTCAGTCTTTGCAAAATTTTATGAAAATAAAAGACAACAGCCAAGATAGAAAGTTTCATTTCTTGTATCTATAGTTACCTAGTTACCTATTTGATTTTGCTTTTTTTCCTTTTTGTTATTACCTGTTTTACTTACAATAGTAAAGTTACTCATTGCTGATAGAACAGTTTGTGGAGTTGTTTTCCCTTGTGTGTGTGTGTGTGTGTGTGTGTGTGTTCACTCTTTTGTGCCTGTGCAGGTGTGTATATAGTTGTGCATATGTGTGTAGTTGTGCATGTGTGTGTAGGTGTTCATGCATGTGTAGGTGAGAGGTCATCCTTGAATGTTGATTTTTAGACATGATCTCGTGGTGGGAAACAGAACTCCATAATCCGGAATCTTCCTTGTTCCTCCTCCTCAGTGCTGACATTCCACCACTCCCAGGTTTTTCATGGGTTCTGACAATCAAACTAGGGTCCTTATATTTGTAACTCAAGAACTTTGTAGACTGGGCTATCTGTCCAATTCTGTAGTAAAACTTGGAGCCTCCAGACACTTTGTTCACTCCATCAATTTCCAAGGTACCCAGAAAGGATCATGAACGAATCATGTATGAACATTCTTGTCTGAAGATTATACAAACATGTTACTGAAGAACATGTTATGGCTGTATCTTCCTGTATCTCCTGAGGAGTAGGCATAGCCCATTCTGGAGACCTTTGGCTAATCCCTTCTTTACCCAGACACAGATCCTGGAAAGACTTAGATAACCTCCGAGTAATCTGAAAATACAAAACCCACAACAAATATAGACCAAATATCTGGTACAGGGCAATTATCTAGTCTCCTCTTTCCTCTGCATAAAGAAAAGCTTTAGTTAAGACTTTTTAGTCACATTGCTCAGGTGTGGTTCCCCTGTGTTTTCTTGGAAGGGCTGGGCCTTCATCTCAGTGGTAAAGCTCTTGGACTGCCTGCTGAAAGCACTGGTTAGCAATGGAAGGAACACAATACTTTCTTGGGTTCTGTGATAGTCTGAATAGTAATGATCCCCATAGACAATAGTAATGATCCCCATAGACTCATATATTTGAAGGCTTGGTCATAGGGGAATGGCTCTACTTGAGAGGGATTTGAAGGTATGGCCTTATTGGAGTAGTTGTGGCCTTGTTGGAAGAAGTGTGTCACTGGGGGTAGGCTTTGAGGTTTCAGAAGCCCAAACCAGGCCTGGAGTCTGTCTCTTCCTGCTGCCTCTGGATCCAGATGTAGAACTCTCAGTCTCTCCATCACCATGTCTTTCTGTATGCAGCCATGGCGATAATGAACTAAACTGCTGAGACTGTAAGCAAGCCACAATTAAAGGCTTTCTTTTATAAGAATTTCCATGGACTTGGTATATCTTCATAGCAGTAGAACAACAGCTAAGACAAGTTCTGTATTAGCTTCCTACTGATGACAAGTGACTACATGTTCAGTAGATTAATAGCACAAATGTATTACAAGCCTGTGGTTAAAAGTCTGACTTGGGTCTTATTGGTCAAATAAGGGTTATTGTTAGGAGTGCATTCCTTTTGGGAGAAATGTAATAACAATCTGCTTCTTTGCTTTCCTTCTAGCATAAGCTCTTTGAGTGCTAATTGCCTTTTTCTTTCACCCATCAATCAATACCTTATTTAGTATAATCATAAAACTCACTGATCATCTGATAAAACTTCTTCAGTGTTTGAGATGTTTAAGAATTTTTTTATTTCATTAAGTACATTCAGGTAACCCAACGTAATTTTCCCTATGAATTACCACATTCAGAAGGACAACCTTAGGGGATTCCTACCCATCACAAATTCCTAACAGCAATTTACTTCCTTATATAGTATAGTAAGATTTATATTTTAAAATGTATGACATAATCAGAAATAGACACAGTTCTAGGGATAAGCTAGTTAGTTAATTTGGTAAGAGAGCACCTCAGTCAAGAAAATACCTCCATCAGATTGCTGGTAGGAAAGCCTTCAGGGCATTTCCTTGAAAATGATAGACATGGGAGTGCCCAGGACACTTAGAGCAGTGCCACACCTGGGCTTCTACTCATGAGGTGTAGAAGAAAGCGGGCTGAGTAAGTCACAGGAAGCAAGTCTCTAGGCCACACTATTCCAAGATCACTCTTTCCTGGCTTCTGACTTGAGTCCCTCTCCTGACTTCCTTTCATGATGCCTTAAGCTGAAATAACCCTTTCATCCCCAAGTTAATTTTACTCATGGTGTTTCTTTACAAAAATAGAAAGCAGGCAAAAATGATGGCTATTGTAAATAAATGACTATACCGAGAGAGAGAGAGAGAGAGATAGATAGAGACAGAGAGAGACAGAGACAGTGTGTGTGTGTGTGTGTGTGTGTGTGTGTGTGTGTGTGTGTGTAATCTGGGTATCTTGTTTTTATTTTCATTTCTGTTTTTTAAATTCTACACAATAGACAGAATGCCACTATCTTAGTTAGAGTTTTATTGCTGTGAAGAGACAGTATGACTCTGGTAACTCTTTAAAAAGAAAACATCTAACTGGGGCTTGTTAGGAGTAGGTTTTCCCTGCCTGTCTGGTCCCACAGCTGTGCCAGCCCCAAATAACACACAGAGACATTATATTAGATATAAACCTGTTGGCCAGGTACTAATTTCTTGTCGGCTAGCTCTGTCTTAATGATTAACCCATTTCTATTAATCTAAGTATTTCCACATGGTCTCACCTTACCGGAGAGAGGGGCCGGCGTTCTGCTCTCTCCAGTCTCTCCATGTTGACTCCTCCCTACTACTTCCTCTCTCCTCCCAATCTCCTAGTCCCTCCTATCTTCCTTTCCTATTGACCAACAGTGCTTTATTCATTAACCAATACAAGAAATATATTTACATCTCCCATCATCTCCTCTTTTCTGTCTAAATAAAAAGAAGGGTTTTAACCTTAACAAAGCAAAATGGGGGCTCGGAGAGCTCTCTTGCTTGCAGCACAGGGACAGGAGAGCATCAGGAGGCATCCTTGGGACCAGGAACCTGCTAGTGTTCATCTGTCTATGTTGTGAGTTATTTCTTCCTGAATAAACATCTGTTTGGCCTATTTGTTTCTCTTGATCGTTATTAAACATCAATAGGGGCTGGCTTACAGTTTCAGAGGTAAAGTCCATTATCCTAATGCTGGGAAGCATGGCAGAGTTCAGGCAGACATGGTGCAGGAAAGAGATCCACGAGATCTATATTTTAATCTTCAGACAGCAGGCTTGAGTTTCGGAGACACACCTACTCCAAGGCCACACCCCCTAATAGTGCCACTCCCCATGGACCTATCGTTGTCATTTTATTCAAACCACCACAGACATCTACTATTGTTGACTACTGTCCATGACCCATTGTTAAAATATTTAGTGTTGCAATGTAAATCATTGTAAATTGACCTTACTCCAAATCTGCAGGAAATAAAATCCATATATTTTATGTCTAAGATAGGGAACATACATATAAATTATATTGTCAAGCTTCTTAAAAGAAATATAAATGAATGGTAGCTTAAAGAGGTTTCAGGTCCTAAGACCAGCTAGACACCCTTGCAACACATTTCCACACAGATATCTGATTATTTTTGTATGCGTATGGTTGTGGTCATGAGCACCCTCTGATTTCTCATGCTGAAAAGATGGCACCTGTTTTCTGTTAGGCTTGGCTGTCTTGTGTGGCAATGACTGTGAACTCTCCTCAAAGCCGAAAGAAATGTAAGCATGCCTTTGCCTCATTCCGCCTGCTGTTTTATCACTTTCAGTGCAGGAAGGCATCCCTTGAAAAGTTTGTGCTGAGTTTTTACTCAACCACACCAACAGAGGTCACTCCTTCCCATACCCAATGTAAGCATGCTGTAACTTCTCCATGCCTCGATACCTCTCTATTGTCAATTCTCTGTCTCTGTGTGTCTCTCTCCATCACACACACACACACACACACACACACACACGCATGCACACACACACACGCATGCACACACACACACACGCATGCACACACACACACGCATGCACACACACGCATGCACACACACACGCATGCACACACACGCACGCACACACACGCATGCACACACACACACACGCATGCACACACACACACACACACACACACACACACACCACTACATTATCCAGGCATATCCAGCTCTTCCTACCATGATTCTCTTTGGTATCTGGTATGACTGAGGACAAAGTTGATCCATTATATGATTAGCTATCCTTACATACATGCATTCTTCAAACATTCAGAGTTCCCAAAGGATCATGGGAATTCCTACATGAAGCCTCCACTCCTCCTTGCCTACAAGCACAACTTGGTCTCACAGCAAGGAACAATGCACTACAGTTGGAACCTGGCAACATTCTAACTCTTAAGAAAAGTCTCAGATTCATCTCACTTTCATCACAGAGAAACTGACTTTCACTCTGTCCTCACAAAGGAGCAATAGGGAGTGTGTTTTGTCAGTTATTTGTCTCTGTAAAAGTACCTAGCCTTGAAAGGGAACTGCCTGTCCTGGGCCTGAAGATATTGCAACATTAATTTACAGAAGCACTTTCTCCTACGATGTCTGATGAAGTGACCTATGCAACGCTTATGCTTCAGGATTCTGCAACAGTGAGAAGTAATCAGGACGGAAACAACCTAAGAAAAAAAGGTAAGAGCTCAGATAAAGCATTCTATAGCCTTGGAAATGACAGGTATTAAGTGCTTACGATGCTGGCTTTGACACTGAAGGGGAAGGAGAGTGTGCAATATAATTCACAAAATAGAGACAAACAGTCCTGGGATGGGTCTGCAGAGTGTCATTAAGGGAATATATGCGACTTTCAAGACCAGTGTAAATGGTATAGAATCACTGTCATGAAGCTCTTCACGCAGGAAAAAACATTAATGGATATGTCAGAGACTGGGCCTGGGAGTGAGAGATTCCTGTTTATAATCACCCTTGACTCTTGTGCCTGGTCAGCAGCACCAGAGAAATGTTCTTCTAAAATCAAAAAAGGCTTCTTAAATACTCAGAGTAAACTTTGTTAATGTGTGGTATAATTTGAGGAAGGAGTCGAGTACAGATAAATCTCAAGTAAACAAGAGCTATCTTTTCCTCTTTTGCTGTTTTAAATTTAAGGTCATTGGAATCCCAGGTGTAACTTGGAGCATTTTTTGTAATAAATTCTATCTATACATAGCCTTATTGAAGTGTAGTTGTAAAGTAAATTGTAGTTATGTAGATGAAAACTCCAAGTCTCAAAGAAGCTAGATAGTTTGCCTAAGTTTCTACAAGTGTGTGGTGGAGAGACTCTTCCAGTATCGGTTCATTCCCTTAGGCCCAGCTAGAAGAAATATCAAGTCTATGAAGTCCGACATCATTGAATACACAAGACTACCTTCTTCCTTTCCAAAGTCCTAGAGTCATATGAATTACTTTCTTCTGCTCTTTGGACTTGCTCTGTGTGTGTGTGTGTGTGTGTGTGTGCTGTATGAGTGTGTGTGTGTGTGTGTGTGTGTGAGAGAGAGAGAGAGAGAGAGAGAGAGAGAGAAAGACAGAAAGAAACAGAGAGAGAGACAGAGACAGAGACAGAGACAGAGACAGAGACAGAGACAGAGAGGCACGGTATACAGTAGCCAGCATAGCGTTTGTGGCCTTTACTAAAGGTAAGATGGTTATGCATCTCTGTCTTGTAGTTTTCATTCTAATATTTGAGGAAAGAGGTCATGTGATTATCCTAATGTGCTACTGTACTCACCTAGCAAAATGATTGCATGAATCAAGGAAGAAAAAGGTGACAGATTTTTTTTTTTATGACAAACATGTCCCAAAAGTTGCCTGCTGGTTCTCTGGTCTATTTGCAGGTTAGACTATATATTTTCATCCAAGGTTAATTTGCTATTTATAACATAGAAAACAGGATAAATAGTGACTTAAAAGTTATTTGAAAGTGTGATCCACCTTTGTAAGAAAAGTAGAACCTTTTGGAGATTTGTGTCTTAAAATTCAGGGTCTTTGCTGTTGTCAGCATCATTCGAAAGTACTCATCTCCACACCTCGTTCACAAAATCAGTGGACTCGAGGAAAAAAGACAGGGACTAATTAAAAAAAAAAAAATAAGAGAAACTCACTTTTAAAGGAAGGTGGGGGAAGGGGAACTGAGGGAGGGACCATCTCATGCTTCATATTGGCAATTTTCTAAAGTGTTAAGAAAAAAGCAAGAAAGTGTTCAAAAGTGTTAAAGAAAATTTTAATATCAAGACACTTGGGTGGGAGAAACAACCCCAAATGTAACAGCATGCTGTGGTTCTATTTGTTCATTCTCTTTTGGCTTCCAGAACACCCAGTTCAATCCTCTATTTGGCGAGGTGCTGCCTTGAGCCTGATGACCCTCTGCCTGTTGCTGGTGACAGGACTGGTGACCTTGGGGATTATATGTAAGTGAACTTGTATTAAGCAAGTAACAGCAGTTATAAAACTCTTGTATGTGTGCAAATTCAAGAAGAATATGGTACTAGCATGCAGATTCTTCAAATCACTTCTGCTACCCCAGATCCACTCCATTCTCCACCACAGCTTCAAAACACACTAACAAGGGGCCTATTTCACTGCTGTGGGAATTCTACCCCACAGTAATTTTTGTCTTTTGAGGAACAATATTGCACTGTGAGGAAAACTCTTCTCTTCTTAGTTATTGGTTAAAATTGAGAAGCTCTTTTCTGAACAGACACACCCATTTGTTATTCTCAGTGAAAAACAGGAAAATAAGCTGGAGATGTATTTGCAGAAGGACATGAACCTCGTTTACCTTGAAATTTAGCAGAAGGCTAGCCAAATCTGCTCACCCATGACACTTTAGTGGCAGCAACAACCTTACTTGCCTGGATGAGGAAGAACACATAGAGAAGAGAAGGGATATGAATCATATCGCACCTGGCAGAAAGAATTGATGCTCCCATGTGTCTTACAGTAGAAGCCACTCCCTAGCAGACCCCAAGAGAAGATTCTCTTGATTGGTGTGGACTGGGAAGGGCACTGGGCATTATGGTAAATGGAAAGGTATCCTGAGGATATGTATGTTATAAAATATTACGTATGTGGAATAAAGAGTACTGTTTTGATCAGCATCCATTCGGAGGTGATTCATAGAAACAGTTTATTGGAAGATGTTGTATGATTGGTGTGATAAAAACAAAACAGCTTTAACAAGGAAAGGTTTCTTTTGGTTCATGGTTTAGTTAAGATGGAATACAGTTCCTCATGATGGGAAATCATGCACACTGGCATGCATGGTAGTTTATCACACTACTTCAAGAGTCAGAAAGCAGAGGAAGATGAATGCCCATGTACAGCTTGCTTTCTCCTCTTACTCAATCTAGGTCCTCAGCCCTGGGGATGGTCCTGTTGACACTCAAGGGGGGAAGGGGTGGTCTTCTTATTTTCGTGAACTTTCTCTGGAAATGCCCATATAAATACATCCTGAAATTTGTCTCCTAGGTGATTCTATAGCCTGTCACATTGACAATAAATATTAATCATCATAGACACTAATGTCTCCCATGCTCTATTCACTTACTTCGTTATATGAAACATTTCGTTGGTAGTTATGACTTGGGCATATGGACACAGACTAATTATTTATCTTGTTCTTTGGAAAAGAAATATAATACTCCTGTTGAGGTAACAGATACTCAGTAGATACTGTTAGGAGAATATGTAGCTCATCTTTTAAGAGATGTACACCCCAATACAAATGAAATGAAAATAGTGTTTATGCATCATGAAGGCACTGCAATTTTTTTTTGCAATGGTTGACACATACGTGCAGTGTGCTAATGAATCACTGGACGAGCTTAATAAAAATAAGATGTGTTTAAATAGATGCATGGATTCAAAACTAGAAATGCTTAGAATGGTTCAGGACTAATCTGGGATTATTGGCAAAACCCTGTCAAGTACGAAAGAAAGGGAAGAGAGAGATGGGGTTGGTGAGCAAGAGGACCTGGTGCCCTCTATAGGGAAAGGAACGGGAGGGGAAAAAGAGGGTGAAGAAGGAAGGGGGGAGGAAAAGAGAAAAGGAAGACAGAGGAGAAGGGAAAGGAGGAGTAGGAAAAGGAGGAGGAAATGGGAGAGAAAGATGCCCGGTGGCCTTGAGTCATCCTGGCAGCCTTGTGAGAGCAGCAGGGAGCATGCCCTTGTCTCATCGTGTCTTGCAGTTTTGCAGATGTCTAAAGATATTAACTCTGATTCAGAGAAGTTGAACCAACTCCCGAAAATCATCCACCCACAGCAGGACAATCTGTCTGAGCCACTGAACATCTCCAGGAAGGGTTCCTCAGAGGACTATCTCCAGTTCCAGATCTCTGCCCTCCTGGAGAGACAGGGGCAGATGGCTATCAAGCTCTGCAAGGAATTTCTCATCCACACCTCTGGTAATTTGACTTACAGCTGCAGAAAGGCCAGATCAATCCTGTCACCCTGACCAAAGTCCCCACATGCAGCACACTATTAGATGCTGTTTTCTTTAGCAATTCCTTGACCATACCATTTTAAATTTATAAAGGACAAGGAAATACAGGTGTTTCTTTAATCAGAAGATACAGAATTTTGGAATCATTTCCAAATGCTACCAGCCAGGATACTTCTCCCTTTATCAGCCAATTTTAGATGTTCTGGTTATCATAAGAACATTAAAATCTGGACCTGCCAAGGCAATTTCCATTGCCCAACCCCAGCCGGGGTTACTCTGCTACCAGGGGGTCCTGGCACAGTATGCTCCAGAGTACTTAGGCTCATAACTGTTGTCTGTGTGCATGCCTCAGTTTCCAAAGGCTTCTGCAGCCACCCCACAGAATGTGTACTTTTGAGTATAATTTCCTTTTCAGACCATAAGTGCAATCCTTGTCCCAAGAGCTGGCAATGGCATGGAAACAGTTGCTATTATTTCACACTCCATGAAGAGAAATCCTGGAGTGACAGCAGAAAAGACTGCACAGACAAGAATGCCACTCTGGTGAAGATTGACAGCCTCAAAGAAAGGGTATGATTGACTCTCTTCCCCCAGCTATAGGAATTACCCACACAGTGAAAAATAAATACGTGATGCTTCTTTTTCATGGTAGGAAATTAGTGAATTCTGAAAGAGATCTAATAAATGAGTAGAGGAACCAGGCGTGGAACCCAGGACGCGGCACATGCTAAGAAAGTGATCTATCGCTGAGCTATAACCCCGGACATAAGTGAATTTTTAATCTTGCCTCCTCAAACCAGCAGATGACCTCTGACTTGTTCTGCTTTCTCCCTCCCCCAGGATTTCCTTCAGTCACAGCCATCGCTCACGCTCTCTTTCTTTTGGCTGGGATTGTCCTGGAACTCAACTGGCAGGCACTGGCTATGGGAAGATGGTTCGTCTCCCTCTCCAGCCTTGTGAGTATCTAACTGTTGGGGCTGGGAGATCAAGATTTCCATAGAACTCTGAGAAAACTGATGTAAATGGAAAGAATTATAAGCCTAGATATGAAAAAAAAAAAAAAAGAACTATACTGTTTAGAAAGAGAAAGCTTTTCATCAGCATACATTGAGGGCTGGTAAGTAATTCCATCTGTTTGCCAAACTGAGGGCAATGCTCTGAATTTCGTGTGCTGGTCAGCTGTTTTCCTCATTAAGCATGTATGGATAAGAGTACCTTCAAAGTACTTTGCAAACATACACCCTTGAAAGATGCACTTTCATATCTCCACTCCAAAATAAAACATGTTATCACAGAGAGATTTGGTGACATGCCTAAGATTGCCCGGCTCAAACCCGATCAAATCAAGATGGAACATTTTAGATCCCCTACTCATGCACTCAGCTATTTTGCATTGCATCCTTTCCAACCTTCAAGGGTAGTGGTTGTCATAAGGATGCACATTTAAACATTGACCATTACTCATATTAAGGAATTGTTGCCATTTTCTCTGAAGTGCCTGATTGGCTTCTGGATTAGCTTCAGGGTGCAGAGGTTATGTGACAAGTGTCCTGACAAAATCTACTGTCGAGGAGTCTCGACGACAGTGTTGAAAGCACACATCAAATCTCTACAATTTGGGAAACTGAAGCTTTGCAACTATTTAAAGTAATGACAGGATAAAAGTCAGCATGAAAAAAATTGTTTCAAAGTCTTGCCCAGTGTGATCATCTGTACTTTTCAAAAGACTCCTAGGAGGTCCAGACTCATTGGGAGCCAGAAACCCAGGTGCCACATGGAGTCAGGCTGGGCTTACAGGGGAAGCTGGTGGGTGTATGGTGTGAGCTGGGAGATGAAAAGTAGAGTTTGCTTCATCTACAAGACAGTACCATGGGATAAATCCTTATTTTCTCAAGAACAAGTTTTGTTTTAACTTTAATGTTTAAAAATTGTTTTTTTTTTTCACTTATTTATTTATCTGGGGAGGTGAGGGGTGTATGGTTCCAGAGCACACAAATGGAAATGAGAGGACAACCTGCAGATATAAGTTCTCTACTTCCAGTATCTGGGTTGAGGGAATTGAACTCAAATCATCAGGCTTGGTCGCTGAGTCATCTCCAAATCCTCTTTTGTTTGTTTTGTTTTGTTTTAAAGCAAGGACTGGAAAGATCACTCAGTGGTTAAGAGCATCACCTACAAATAACTAACAACCACCTATAACCCCAGCTCCAGGAGGGTTGCCCCTTTTTCAGCCTCTGTGGGCACTTACACACATGTATGCACAGATACCCAGACATAAATATAAATGACAATAAAATGAGTTTTTTACAAGAATAAAAGTTTGAAGGGTCACATGGCTTCAAAAGTCTTTGAAAGACTCTAAAACAAAGACAAAAAATGGCGGACAGCATACATCAAAACGTAATTGAGATAATTGTATATGTAATTTTTACATTAAATAAGATTTGATATCACTATTATATCCCCTGCTCCGCTCCAAGGACTCAAGCCATCCAACTTAAATCTGTTTTACTTTTCCATGTATGTTGTCAACATTTTGTAAATTGAGTTATAGTTATTTCATTTTTACTCAAATCTGCTTGGAGTCAGATTTGACTCAGATATGACTCACCGAAGCCTTGAATAACAAATAATTATATGTCTGTTCTTTTCTCCCTAAAGAACCTAGAGACTTTTCTAGGACTTTTCCTATTCAAATATGTGTCTCACAGGCTCTTGTCACCATTGCGAGCCATATTTGGCTAGTCTATTTTCACACTAGTCACAATGACAAAAGGCTCACTCAAAACAACACAAAAAGGGCAGTTACTCTTTTCTAGAGCAGAGTAATCAGGTGGACAGTGCTCACAGCTGACCTGAGGAGAGAGGGGTTGCTATACCGAGACGGTCCACAAGTGGCACGCAACACAACGTAAATGCAGTACAGTCCCCAGGTTACAGTGTACATTTCTCCTCTCCCATACAAATGCTAAATATTCTTGATTTATCTACTGGCTCCTGTAAACATATAGAGGAAATGGACTATGTTTTCTGTTCAGAGCCCACAGATGATGACAGTCGTTCATGCCCCTGTGAGATAACCCAGCTCTCTATACCCATTCTAGAGCGACTGTACTTCAGGCTCTTCCTTGGATCCTGAAAAAGGACTCTCTGACTGAGACATATTCAAACAGTAATATGTAATAGGCTTAGCTCTTCTAAATAAAAATAACATGGCATCCCAGGGTGCATCACTTGGAGAAAGCGGTGCTTGTAACACACATTTAGGCTGAGCACGCATGATTTTTGGTTGTGAGCCTAGCCTTTAACGGCTGAGCCATCTCTCCAGCCCTGAGCACGCATGATTTTTAAGGACAACATTTAAGTGTTGTCATTAAAGTTGAACCAAGAAGCTGGACATGATCTCTTGATAACCCAATCTCATAAGCCATTCATTTCCTTATTCAGACTCTTATCTTATTTTCTAAAGTATATATAAAAGCATGCACAATTAGGTTTTTGCATGGTAAAATGTAATAACATTTTTCATGGCATAAATTTACTTTTCTAGTTTTCATACTAAAATTAGAAATGTAAAAATAAACTATCATTTCTAATGTAATTTGCACTGGGTGAAATCCATTAGTGGAATTCCATATTACTACTGGGAAAAATAATTTCCAAACCATAGTTTAAATAGTCCTTTTTATTGAATTTCAATGCAGTATATTTTGATCATGGTCTCCCACCCTCATCTTCTCCCAGGTCCTCTCCACCTCGATGCTCTTGCAACTCCACACCCCCTTCTTCTCTCTCTTTAGAGAGCAAACAAACCAATATAAAATGTGAGCAGCAAGCATGGATTCTCTCTCATGGAGTAGGCCTTAAATTCAATCAGATAGTGCTGGGTTACAACTTCATACCACTATTGCAGTAATATTTCATGCAGAAAGAAATTTTTTAAGAAATTTTTTTTCCCCTGGGACCACTACTAACCTGAAATAAAAAACTTAGACATGCTGGCATTACAGATGCTGATGCTTTGTGGGGTTGTGGGTCTCACAATAGTGTGAACTTTCCTTCTCAGGGTGACTGAGAACACTTACTTCTGATTAAATTTCAGATACAATGGTTTTAATGAATTTAAATTGATTCCTTTTCAGATTTAGCTATCAGGAGCATGCCAGGTTCAATGGATCCAGAGGGTGTGCTTATTTTGAAAGAGGGAATGTTTACATTTCTCGCTGTAGTGCTGAAATTTCTTGGATTTGTGAGAAGACAGCTTCCCTGGTGAAGATTGAAGATTTGGATTGATCTGAATCTAAGTGTATCAAGAAGAAGGGCCTATTGTGAAGCCATGGGAGAAAGGAGGAAGCTATGGTATTTGATTCAAATACCGATTATAAAGTGACTGTACTTCAACTGTCCCACAAACAAACATGCTTGACAGAGCATTCTCCATTTCTCTGTCTGACCCTCTGACCCGTGTTCTCATTACTCAGTCTTACAATGATCCTGAGGACCCAGGGAGGAACATGTCATTTCGGTGTGTCTCTCAGTAAACATTGTTTCTTGCTTTATTCTTACACGTTTACACACTCAATGACATGGTGATACTTACATGTTAATCATCAGACCAACCTAGGCCACCGTAAGGGAGCAAATTCCAGAAAGCCTGCCTAAACAGGCAGGACTTTGAGAGAGCCCACAGGACAGGAGCTAGGACAGCAGTCCTGGAAGGCTGAACTGGAAATGCTTTATCATTTTAGAAATTGTCTGACTGAACCCATTTAGCAGCTAAGTATCAGTCTCCATGTGCAGGGAAACTCTGCTTCGTCTTCCTATGAAGCTACACCACCAATTCTCATAGTGGATAGCCCAGATGAAGTAGAATGAACACTGTCTTAAATACTTTTATTATTCATTAAAACTAATAATATCCAGGCTGTTAATTTTGCACTCTAGGTACTATCAGAATAATACAGATGTTTATTCTCTTACTATTAGCATGCCATTTCATTTTCTTTTCTGTGTGCATGTATGAGTATCATGAATGTGTGTGTGGGTAAAAAGAATAGTAATTAACTTGTGGTACCAATTTGAACAATGGCCTAATATTTACTGGAAAATGGATTGCATTCTGAATGCTGTCACAGTCACAGTTTATTGAAGCAACAACTTCACAATGCTAGTAAGTAGCTTGTTACCTTTAAAATTATGACCTTATTAGCATATAATATATATCCAATGGGATTCTAGAACAAGGGGATAAGGTTCAATGTAAATATCTAATAAGACTACAAACTGAATGTAAGCACACATTTTAAAACATAGGTTATTACTTTCATTATAAATGTTAAGTGCAGAGGGTCTACCAATTCTCACTCAAGCACGAATCACAAATGAAATAAACATATAATGAAATAGATGCTTTATTCTTCCATTTCTCATAAGCAGGTTCCTGTCATTCTCTCACACAAAGTGCAATTACTCATTAATTATCAACACCCCCCCAAAAAAAATCAAAACGCTTCTCTGACTCCCACACGTTTGGGTTTCTCTTTATTCCCATGGGAAAGATGATTTCTCCTGCTTTCCCTCCATCCCCACTCAAAGGATCTGCTATTTATAAGCTAATCATTTTTGCCTGTTATTTTGTTCCCATGAAGAGGTGATACTTTTCTCCTGGCATCTTGTATCTTTAATGCCTATCTCATGGTCACTCTGACTTTTACCCTGGTTCGAAAAGAAACTTTGTCTAACCTCACCGAGGCTCTGGATTTTGATAAGGTCAGACCAGTCACCCGGTCCTCCCTGATTCTTGCTGTCATCACACCATACCCAGCATGCTTTGGAGAAATAAGGGTATCTATATGCATCCGTTCCTGGGGATCCATTGCCTTTGTGTGTTGGAGCATCTCAGCATAGTCTCTTGCATTCTGATAGCTGGCTTCTGAGATGGGAATTGTTCCCAGAAAATTTCTTTCCTCTGTTTCTCTGTCCCCTAAGAGATAATAGAAAGATAGGTGTATGATGGTAGATAGGCAGATGAGTGATAGATATTTGTAGACCATGTTGCAGATCTACAGGATCAAATGCCTGGGAAGGTAGGACTGGAGAAATTCAAATCTGATTGTAGGCTCACAGCCTGAATAAATGGTCTCAGTACAAATTCCCTGAGCAGACAGGTTGTGTAAGGTACTTTTCTGTTGTTGTGATTAAAACACCATGACCAAGGCAACTTATAGAAGAAAGGGTTTGTTTGGGCTTATAATTCCAGAGTGATGTGGGTAGGCCTGGCAAAAAGTAGGAGGTATGGTACCAGATCAGAAAGATGAAAGATCATGTCTTTTTCAATAATTTACTTAACTTTATTTTATTTGCATTGGTATGAGCGTGTCAGACCACCTGTAACCAGAATTACAGTTTGAGCTGCTATGTGGGCACTGAGGGCGCCTGTGCCCTCTGGAAGAGCAGCCAGTGCTCTTCACCTTTGAGCCATCTCTCCAGCCCTGAGAGGCCACATCTTCAACTGAAATCCACAAAGCAGAAAGAACTGGAGGTAAAATGAGGCTTTGTACTTGGAAAGCCTGTGCCCCACTGACATCCTTTCTCCAGCAAGGATACACCTCACAAACTTCCTCAAACAGTGTCAGCACCTAGGGGACAAGTGCTCAAATGCCTGAGCTTATGGGGGACAGTCTTATCCAAAACTCAATACAGATAACAAATATTGGTGTCAGTGTCAGAGTAAATGGCTCTTTTTGAAGCACAAACCAAAAAAAAAAAAAAAAAAATCTTATTCAGAGAACATGGCACGAGAGAAGGAATAAGGGAAGTTAGGTTTATTATTGTTGTTATTATTATTATTATTACTATTACTGTTGTTGTTGCTGCTGTGAAGAGACACCATGACCACAGCAACTCTTATAAATGAAAACATTTAACAGAGTGCCTCGCTTCCAGTTTCAGAGTTAGCCCATGCAGGCTGATGTGGTGCAGGAGTGGAGAGTCCTACATCTTGGCTCAGAAGTTGACTGACTGTCACACTGAGTGAAGCTTGAGAAAAGGGACCTCAAAGATCACCCCCACAGTGACGCACTTCCACCAACGAGGCCACACCTCCTAATGGTGCCACTCCCTTTTGGGGCCATTTTGTTTGAAACCACTAAAGAAAGCCTGAGTCCAATTGAACAGGGTTCATACGAACTCACAGAGACTGAAGTAGCAAGCATGCAACTTGTACTACACGGATCTGCACCAGATCCTCTGCGCAAATATTACAGCTTTCGGTTTAGAGTTTGTTGTTGTTGTTTTGTTTTGTTTTTCCATTTTTATTTTTGATTTCATTTTACATTCCAACCACAATTCTCCCTTCTACCCTCCTCTATCAGCTCTCCTGTAGCTCACCCCCAGTCCACAGCCTTTACCTCCTCACAGGTAAAGGCTCCCATGAGAAGGCAACACGGTCTGGTACAATAGCATGGGGCAGGCCCCTGCCCCTCTGGCATGCATTAAGACTGAGCATGGCTTTTCATCATAGGGAACGGGCTCCAACAGGTTAGCTCATGTACCAGATTTGTATTGTGGTCCTACTGCCAGGGGCACCTCTGATAGTCCAAGCTTTACATCTGTCTCCCACACATGGAGGGCCTAGTTCAGTCCCCTAGAGTCTCCACAGTTTTAGGTCTTGAGTTCATGAGTTTCCACTAGCTTGGTTCAGTTGTCTCTGTAGATGTGTATTCACTCAGAAGTGGATATTAGATGTAAAGCAAAAAATAACCAGACTGAAGTCCACAGCTCCAGAGAAGCTAGGTAACAAGAAGGACCCTAAGAGGGATGCATGGATCACCCTGGGAAGAGAAATTAGATTTCTACTGGGCAAACTGGGGGTGGGAGGTGGTAATAGGGAGAAGGAAGAGGAGAACAGAAAGGATATCTTTGTTTGTTTGTTTGATTTTGTTTTTTGAGAGACAAGGTTTCTCTATGGCTTTGAAGGTTGTCCTGGAACTATCTCTGTAGACCATGCTGGCCTCAAACTCACAGAGATTCACCTGCCTCTGCCTCCTGAGTGCTGGGATTAAAGTCCCGTGCCACCAACACCCAGCCAGAAGGGATATCTTAATAGAGAGAGGCACTATGGGTTTAGGGAGAAAGCTGGCACTAGGGTAACTTCCACGAATCCACAAGGAGGACCCCCGCTAAGACTCCTAGCAACAGTAAAGAGGATACTTGAACTGGCCTACCCCTGTAATCAAATCAATGAACACTCCAACTATCATCATAGAGCCCTCATCTAGTAATTGATGGAATCAGATGCAGAGATCCACAACCAAGAACCAAGCTTCAGGACTCCAGGCGAAGAGAGGGAAGAAGAAACATATCAGAAAGGGAGGTCAAGATTATAATGGAGAAGTCTACAGTTTATTTTTTTATGAGACTCCTGAGTGTGCGAATAAGAGAGTCTTTGATTCTTGTGCCTTCTCTTGGGGTTCTTTTCCTTATGATAGTTTTTGTCTTATTGTATTTTATTTTGTTATGAAAAATAGAGCAAATAAGTTTTATGCTTAGGATTTTAAGGCAAAGATAGAAAATGACATGAAATATGACTGTGTTTAATTTTCATCATTGAAGTCATATCATAGATATAAACACACCATGAGACCAAGAATAATACTATAGTCTAAAAATATAAAAATAACCAATTTGTATTGATTTTAAAAATACTTCTTATGTTAAAGGAACAGCCAGATTACCCAGGCCTGCTTTATAAACACTATAAAATAAGTCAGGCATTAAAACAGCCAAACATCTCCTGATGACCATTGATAGCCAGACTGTTTTTAGCTAACAATTTATTTTTGTTTTTATTTCAGCAGTAAGCTCAGGCAATACCATTTGGATCAGGTACACCTTTTTCTAGCTTAACATATAAACTCCTGTCTCTCTGCTTGGGGTTCAGGTGTCCTCCATCATGCTCTTATCCAAGACATGATTCTATCCATGAGCCCTGATGTGCTATGCTTCATGTGAGCCCGGATCTACTTGTTCAGTTTCTTGACGCCTCCTACGTTTACCAGTTGGTTCGTATACATAGAATTTTTCTAGAAACAATTTTACAGTCAAGGAGATCAAGGGAGATCAAAAGAGAAACAGAAATGATGGTAATTTTGCCATTGTAACCAAAATAGCTTGGAATTGACATAAAACAAGCACATAAAAGCAATGGCATAGAATGTAGAACCTGAAGCAAATGTATACATTTGCAGTGGGTTTACTTCTGGTAAGAAACTGTCTTGCCTGTAAACTATAGTGGG